CCGTCACCGTCGCACGGCACGTCCCACCGGTGCCGGGAACCGGTACCGGTACCCAAATTTTTGTCCCGGAACCGCCGGTACCGGTACGGTCGGTACCGGTACTGTTACTTTTTTTTTCCTGCACCTGCAACAGATCGGCCAACCACCTGCAAAAAAAAAGAAGGGAAACATTAAAGGGAAGGGGGGGACTAGTCTTCAACGGGAAGAACAAGTGGCCTGCGAAAAAAATTATTAAACAGATCGGCACACTTTAAACAGATCGGCACATAGGGGGGACTAGTCTTCAACAAATCGGCACACTTTAAAAATTTCAAAAAAAGCAAAAAAAAAAAATGGGGGGGGGGAGGCGAAACCGGCCGGTCCGGTACCGGAACCGCCGGTCCGGGAACCGGAACCGGTACCAGCCGATCCGGTCACGGTGCCGGTGCCATGGGGTGGCGGTACCGGAACCGGCGGTTCCGGAATCGGAACCGTCCCAGAACCATACCGTGTCCACCCCTATCTGACGGTAGCTTTTACCGTTAGCGTTTTCAGAGTTAATCTGCACCATTAAAATTTTATCCAAAACTCTAACGCTAGTAAAAAAACATTGTTCCCAAACATAGCCATTGTGTATAAATAGAGAAGTTGTCTATATAAGGACATTAATGTGCGAGAATATAGCCATTGGAATTAAAATAGAGGTTATTGTGTATGGGTGTAATGAAAAAGGACAGTTTCAAGTTTCAACTAGTTTCATTTGGGCATTGTGATAAACATTAAAGCTGTGGTAAACATTTTCTTTTATGATTTTGTAGTGATAAGACCTTATAGCAATAATTTAGTCATTATTGTGAAACATAATAAATTAGACATTACAGTGATAAGGCAATATCCTTAAAAGAGCTTTTGGTCAGCATAGAAGTTCTTTCTTTCCCTCTGGAAAATCTACAATGTGAGCTTGATGCCAAGTTTAGACAAATTCCTCAAAGCATGATATAAAATTCTTATAATTTGGATAAATTCCATCAAAATAGAAGAAAGGAAACAAGAATCCATCACTACAAGTATTTCAAACTATTATCACATGATTCCATCAATAATCAGCATACACCCCTCATAAAGGACATAAACACTCGACAATAAGGCGAATTCAGGATCAAAATCATGTTTTCTTTACCAAATCTAGAGTTCCCCGGTGGAAGAACGCTGCAGGGATACATTGTTGAGCCTCTCAAGTGCCAAGATAAGAGCTTGCGTGCCTAAATCGCCTTCTCTGTGAGCCTTAAGCGATAGGTAAAGCTGCTGCGACAATGCCAATCCAGGCAGTGCCAGTCCCATGTTCTGGCACTCCTTTAAGCAGATTCCCAAATCTTTAACGAAGTGATTCACATAAAATCCGGGATCAAAATCTCTGTTCATGATCCTGCTCCCGTACAAGTCCAGTGATTTTGATCCCGCCGCTCCGGTTGAAATGGCATTTAGATACAATTCCAGATTCAATCCTGCTTTGTGGGCATACACTAGGCCTTCACATAGCCCTACCATGGTGGAAGCTATGGTTATTTGATTGGCTAGTTTTGTGAATTGGCCCTTTCCAGGGGCACCCATGTAGTAAACCCTACCCATGAGGGAGAAGATTGGAGAGAGCCGCTGAACTAGGGTTTCGTCGCCGCCGGCGAAGATTGAGAGTGCGGCGTTGCGGGCTCCGCGATCGCCGCCGGAAACCGGGGCGTCTATTGCGGAGCAGCCGGCTGAGGTCGCGGCGGAGTGGATTTTGACCGCGAGGGAAGGATCGGAGGTGGTCATGTCGACCACGACGCCGCCCTGCCTGAGGCCGGCGAGCGCGCCGGAGTCGGGATCGAGGATGACGTGGCGGACGTCGGAGGGGTATCCGACGATGGAGAAGACGACGTCGGAGCGGGAAGAGACGGATCTCGGGGAGTCGGCCCACTTCGCCCCCATGGAAATGAGCTCTTGGGCCTTGCTACTAGTCCTGGTGAAGACGGTGAGCTCATATCCCGCGTTGATCAAGTGAGCACACATTGATCGGCCCATCACGCCGGTGCCGATCCATCCCAGACGGGTGTTTGACGGACTCACGGCGTCGACGGCGGTGGCCATGGAGCGGAGATTGGCGGCGAAGTGCGGTGGACGGGTGGGAGCTTTGTGGATGAGTGTACGGATAAGTGACCCGGAGTGATTTGGAAGGATAAACATCATCGTTGATGGGCCTCTAAAAACTAGTATGCCCATAAACCATAGTTATATATGGATATGGGCTCAAATTAATGGGTCTTCATAATGATATGTTGAGCCTGAAGTTGGGGAGCAAGCATAGGCCAGCTCGATGTATTGGTCTATTGGATGTAAGGTTAGACAAAAAGTTCTATCATAGACAAAGGTCCGCAAGGTTCATATGAATCTTTTTACATAGTGTTTTTTTATTTAATTTTAATTAAAAAATGTTTATCTCATTTGCTAGCTAAATATTTTCTCCGTCCTAAAAAAAAATTATACTCTTTACTATTCAAAAGTGACAATAAAATTAGTTCAGATTCTAGTACTAGCACCGCTGGTAGTGTATTTTAACTTCATAACAATTATATTCTTACGTTGACTCATCGGTATGATTGATGTTTATGTTGATAATTGCAGGATCACAAATATTTATGCTTGAGTCAAATCTACAATCCTCTGACAGTAAAAGTGAGTGGTAAAATAATGAGTTTGAGGATGAAGAGCAAAAGATGAGGAGCAGGAGGACCCATTCTTGAGGAATCCACGTATATGATGATCAAAATGTCAAGTTTTGATGTAAATATCAAAAGATTTCAATATCTTAACAATAAATCTTTATTTTTAATACTTTTTTCCTTTAAAACAATATAATCATTAAGATCACTGTTAATGCATGTCTCCTAATCACGCTAACATTTTATGTGAGGAGGACCCTGAAGGAACAAAATAGAAAAATGTTGGCCGAGACGCGAGACTTTTACTAGCAAGAGTTCCATGTATGCTTGAAGACATGGTCAAGCAAGCCTTTTTGAGTCGGACAACGAGATTAAATAGTCATTTTACGACTTCACGTACAATCACCGCAATGTAAGAGTGCTTCACAAAAAGCCTGCTCCTGAGCTCATTGGTGGTTGGCAAAAGGTGATTTTATTTTCACTTTATTATAAATTTATCTGTACGTATAGGTATAAGTTATTTTAACAATCTTAATTCAACCAACGCATTTGTATAGCATTGAAATTCCAAATAAGTTAAACAGACGTCGATTCCGTTTTCTAAACACCTTACCCAATTGGTAACTAACTTAGTAACACCAATGCATTTTTAAGTTATGGATGTAAGAATTAAAAATATCTACATATTTATTTAAATATTTTGTTCATTTTATATTGCAAGTCGCAAAGGCTGAAGCTTCGGGGACAGTGGTGGATGCTTTCAAGCACACCAAGATGAAGAAACATGACGGCATGACATGAATATATCCAGAGGATGCACAACTCGAGCTAATTGCAAACTATATTCATTTCTTATTAATTTTACATTTACAATGTGCAGAAGTGATCACTATTATCCACACAACATTATCACTGTCGAGTTCAAGAAGCATAACTGTATTCATGTGATATATACATTGTGCTTTTCAATGTACAGGCTAGCTATTTTTTTGTAATTAAAACAATTGACGAAGGAGTCGGGTCTTAAAGTAATTGATCTGGAGATTTGGTTTGAACTGTTTGGTTGCTTTGGTGCAAAGAACTGGGTGAAGGGGGTTGGGGATTTTGCACGTGAAATGAATTGAAGCCCCTTAAACCTACTTCACAAAGCAGAAGGAAAAACACCAGTGGCATCTTAGAGATTGAGAGGCTGAAAATAGAAAATAAGATAATAAAGACGAGATAAGATAAAATTGAGCTCACGATAAATTTCATGCCATGCTTTCTTTTTATGATGTTCATTTCCTAATTCAAAAGAGATGAAAGTGCTTTTTTGTTGTTTTAGGATTCAATTTGGAATTTGATTTTATAGTTTCTTGGTGTCTTTCGAGATTTTAAGTTTATTTTGGCATTTGGTTATGTCGTAGTGTTGACTATTTTTCATAGAAAATAGAAACTTTCAATATGTTTTTCTATTTTGTTTTCTATTTTTCTATCCTCAATAGTCAAATAAAAGAAAACTACAAAATTTACTCCGTTTCTCTCCTTTCCTTTTTCCCCTTCCATTTCTCTCAAAACAAACATAGGCTTGCTAAAACTCCAAAAGATTCCCTGAATGAATGAGGGAATGACAATAGAATTGCTTTGGCCAAGCAAAGTGATATAGATCGAAGTCAGCATGTGCATGATACATGCCCACATGAAAGTTTCTTTATGCATGCAGCAGACATCAGTACGCGACAGGTAGATCCACAATATAATATTAAAACAGGCCAAATTTTTCTTATACTCCCTTGATTTGTGAATGTAGTTTCACTCTTTATTGTTCAAGTACTATTTAGGGAATAAACAGTTTTACAATTGCATTGGAAAAGACATACTCCCTCCGCCCCTAAAAAATTGACACAATTTGACTTTTTGGTTAAACTGTAGCACCAACCGTAAATTATGAAAAAAGTATATTTAGTTATAATGTAAATTTAGTAAAATTGGATTTATTTTAAAATATAGTTTTGAAATATCTAATTTGATATTTAGTACAAAATTCACCAATATAAATTTAAAGAGAGTGCTAGGGAAATTCTACTTAGGGTACACCAAGGCAAAAATAGGCACACACAGACATTCAATATCTGTGCGTGCACAAATATTAAGTTTCTATGTTTGGCTTAATGTATATTTGGTGTACCCCAAAGGTTCCCCCAAGCATTTTTCTAAAATTAAACCCCCAAATACTATGGGGATTGGGGACTGCTAGAAAAATCTCACTTGGGGTACACCAAATGTACACTAAAGTAAAAATAAATATGCATAGACATTCCATGTTTGTGCGTACATGGACATTAAGTGTTTGCGTGTGCCTATCTTTGCTTTGATGTACACTTGGTGTAACCTAAGTGGGGTTCCCCAAACATTTTCCTTCTACGATATCTTCATACCATACTCTCTCCATTTGAAACTATTTGTCCTGTTTTAATTTTTTAGAGTAAGCCTGAATCAACTCTTGATTTATAATTATTCAAAATTACATGATATATTAATTAGATAGAAATAATATTTTAAAACTACTTGCATAATGAATGTAAGGGGCTGTTTGTTTCAGCTTCTTAATGGTTCAGATGTCTGAATGGTTCAGCACTTAATGGTTCAGACTGTTTGTTTCAGCCTCTTAATAGTTCAGATGTCTGAATGGTTAAGAGATTTGCCTCTGAATGATTAAGTATTATACAGAGTCTGAATGGTTAAGACCTCTTATCTGAATTGATCAGACATTTGCCTCTGAATAGTTAAGCAATATACTAGCTCTTAATGGTTCAGACCTCTTACTGGTTCAGCACTTAATGGTTCAGACCTCTTACTGGTTCAGCACTTACCCATTCAGAAGTTGCCAAACAGCCCCTAAGTCGTCCCTTATCCCTCTCTCTTTCTTTTAAAAAATGTATGTGTGCCTAACAACCATCACCGATCTCGAAAAACAATGCGTGTGTGCTTAACAATCGCCACTGATCTCGATGAGCGTGCATAACAGTCATCGTCTTTTATCCATCTCTCTCTAAAAAAATCGTGTCATGATCGAAGAGTTGTAAAGTTGCATTTGTCTATGTATCTTCTAGACTTTGAGAGCATGAAAAACGATAGAGAAGCAGAGATTGCATTTGTCGAAAAACTCAGCACATACACTCTCAAGTTTGTTCGTCACACAACGATTACTTTCTCTCTACTTCTAGCAGACTTACTCATGAAGGCGCTATCTTCTTTGCAGTTCTTGAATCTTGTTTTCAAGCTCGTGACACAAGTTCAGCTTGAGGGAGATGACAATACATTTTTTATCTTAAAGTAATTGATTAAGATAATGTGATTATAAATATAATAATAATACTAATAACAATAATAATAAATTATAACAGCAATTAGATTGAGAATACTCCGTAAAAAATAACTTAAATAAATTTTTAAAAGTTTTTTTTAGATTTTCAAAATATTTTTTAGTTTTTTCAGTTTCATCTAATTTCTTCCCGTTCATTTCAGTTTTTTTCAATTTTTCCAGTTCCTTCTAGCTTCTTCCCGTTTTTTTAGTTCATTTCAACATTGAACTCGTTTTCCCCTCCTTAGAGAACAGACTCTAAGTGGAAGAAAAATCTAACTCTTCTTATTTTAGTTAGGAAAATTAAAGAAAATTATACTTTTCTTCTTTCAAATTTCCTTGAATCAAACACTATTAAACAAATCAAATAAAACCAGACAAAATAATTGAAGAAAAGGAGAACAAGAACAGGTGGTACAATGGCTGGCTCCATCCCGTCCAACGGGCAACGGTCACTCCATCTCCACCAAATGCGCTGCCTCTCTATCCAATTCTCTCTTTCACCCCAATCTCCATTCCATTCCCAGTACTCATCATCATCATCAGCTATATAACCAACCGGTCTCTCCTTTTTCTACCCCCCGCCTCGCTCCCCTGTCCCCGTCAATGGCGATCTGAGACCGGGCTCGCATACATATATTTCACCCGAATCTCGGGCATTGATTTGCCCTAGAACACTTTTTTCCCGCGTGCCTTGGATCAACTTCCGTATTCGAACTTGTAACCGTTCGTACCCAATACGTTGTTGCAGAAGAATGGCGGCATTCGATTCGCTTGACGACTTTTTGTTTTCTGCGAGCAGGGCCTGCTGTAGTCCCCTGGCTTTGTTCATTCAGATCCAGGTCACGCTTCTTCTTCTTCCTCTTCGTTTTGGATATTGGGAATTTTTTGCCGTGTGTTTCTGATTTGCTTTGCTATTAGGGGGAGCGTGTTTGGAATCAGGAGATGATATTGATAATTAATAAGTTTACTTTGTCAGTTATTTTGGGAGAAATAGTCAATATTCCATTAATGTTGGGAACAATTTTATAACAAGTCAATTGAAGATTTATCTATGCTAATATGTGTGAACATTCACTACTTGAACCGTCTGTGAATTGTAATATAATGTTAGCACCAGTTTTCTTGAAAATGCATCCTCACTACTTAATTCAAGGAAATACAATTTAATTTGAATTGTATTATAATGCTGGTCTGAACTTATTTAATGTCCCACAGGGATACATGATTTGCTTACTCCTTGCCATTGGATGGGCTTTAGCTGCTTATGTAAGGTATGACTAGTATCATGTATGTAGTATGCCATCATGGTGATGCAATTAGTGCAATATTTCATGCCAAGTTTCTCTAGCTGTCTTCTTCTGATGGTAAATTGAGATTTAAGTACTTTTTTCATCATCTGCTTTCTTGCAGGAGAAGGGAGACTAGAATGATCAAGGATAGAATAAAACAAGGGAATAGCTTTGCATTTCTCTGTAAGGACATCAACGAGCTTGAGCATTCTAATCAGATCAACTTACCCAGAGTTTCAGTTGTTATGCCGTTAAAAGGATTTGGAGAGCACAATCTACAGAATTGGAGAAGTCAGGTAAATTAGGATCCATGCACAACTAATTCCCTTTGATATATGAGCGGAAGATTAACAGCCTTCATTTAGTCTTTCACGCTTCTCCTGTGACATTTTCAAGTTCAGAAGTATCAAGTATGCATTTTAATTTTTAACCAATTGTTGATTATCCTATAGCATGCCCCTTTTTTGTTTCTGAGTAGGCGGTTCCTTTAACTTTTCAAATATAAACATATCTGTTTTCATATATCACTTTCTCAGGGGAAATATATTACTCCCTCCGTCCCGGAAAACATGGGAGTTTTGATTTTGAAGAGGGATTTAAGGGGAGTATATTTTGGCATTGAATTTCCAAAAATGTCCTTTGATGTGATGGGTAAAAGTATGATTTGATGGATAGATTATTAGTAAAAAGGTATGATGTGATAGGTAGGGTATGAAAAAGTAAGGGTAAAAGTGACTTTTTAATAGAAACGAGAAGTGTTTTTTGGGACGGATGAAAAAAGTAAGGAGAAAGGTTTTCAGGGACGGAGGGAGTATATTTTTTTACCAGAACCTTCCGCCCATAAGAGATCATATTGATTTATCTTCATTTTAATCGTCTTAGGGTAGTCTTTTATAATCCAACCAAAACTCTAAAAGTCTACTTGCATACAATGATAGCATCCCTATTCTGTGCCATTTCCTTCCATTAAATGAGGACTGTTTGCCCTTACTCTTGCTTTCATTTAAAATTCAGATTACATCACTTTATGGAGGTCCATTGGAGTTTCTTTTTGTTGTCGAGAGTATCAAAGACCCCGCTTACTGTGCCGTGCAGAAATTACTCGCAGATTTTCAGGTGTGTTTATATTCTCTAGGAATGTCCACTGATCATAAAAGTTAACAATTGGGTTAGCTGTTATTATTTGTCATCATATCACTGCAAAACAATCCGGTTTAAACCATTATTATCTCTCTGGGGGTAATCTAGATGAGTAGCAAAAGCAATCACACACAAAATTGAGAAAACAAAATGTAATAGGAGGCAATGGTGTTTTGTACAACTCTATCCAGTTTTTCCTTTTACTGATCTCCAATTATATACATAACACAAATGTATAGTTGCACCTTCAGAGATGGACCTTCTTTACTAGTCGCATAATATCAATTCAAATGATGTAATCTTGTCCTGAATCATGTAGAGAATCAAGCCTTTTGTAGGGTCCACTTTGTTCATGCATCGTGCCTTGCTGCATTTAGTCTCCATTTTGGTCTTCTCCCAATAATCACTAAATACAATTTTCCTGGTTTATTCTGTATACAGGATGAGGTCGACACAAAGATAATTGTAGCAGGTCTGTCAACAACCTGTAGCCAGAAGATTCACAATCAATTGGTATTTACAAAATTTTAATTTTGTAGTTATGCATGATACGTTCCTTGGTGATGGAGAGAAAAAGAATATTACTTTTAGACGTTTTCAACTATACATGATTCCTTGTAGGTTGGAGTGGAGAAAATGCATAAAGACACAAAGTATGTCCTTTTCCTTGATGATGATGCAAGGTTGCATCCTGGTTCAATTGGTGCACTTACCGTTGAGATGGAAAAGAATCCTGAGGTAAAGTTACTGTGAACTACTTGTGGATGATGGTAGTTGTTCATTGTGCATGCTTTCCTTTTCTATTCTATTCCTGTAAAATTTTGATTATATCCTTAACTGATTACTCTTTCACAATATTGTGCAGATCTTCATTCAAACAGGATATCCTCTTGATTTGCCTTCTGGAAGTCTTGGGAGCTACTGCATTTATGAGTATCACATGGTTGGTGTCAGTTCTCTAGTTCATCTATTAGCAACTACGAGAGATATTTTAGTTTTGCTCTAACTACTGTCTCAAGGGTTCTTTAGTAACTGACAGGTTCTCCACTTCTCTGGGTAAAAAAAAAGAAAAGTATGTTCAGTTTCTGTTCAAAATCAAATATTTTCACATTAGAAAATAGAAAATGAAAGAAAACATTTTTCAAATAAACATAAATTTAGGGCTTGCTTGGTAACATTTTCTACTTTATGGTTTATGCTTTTTTCTTCTGAAAACAGCTACCCATAACTACCAAACTTTACCACCACCAATACTTTTGCTAATATCATTTGTTAAGCCTATTTATTCATTGATTCACTAATTCCTAGTTCCTACCACGTACCACCAGCCACTTATGTACTTCCATTCCACCTAATTATTAAACAACCATACTTTGTACCCCTGCCCCCATCTACTCACCCACCACTACATAGTACATATTTATGTATTCCTATCCCCACCTACTTACACGTCACACCCAAGAAAACCACTACGCCTGCTTTTTGATAACTTACCGTGTTGGACTTCGCCCAATATTCTTGGGACTTATGAACCACCCTCTCAAACTCATAGGTAGGTAAATCCGAGTTTGATCTGAGACACGTACAATGTACTTGCTCCAAAGTATTAGTCTCACACATAACTTATATCACCTTAGGAAAGGTTGCTTCTTCTGCCCCCCCAAGGATTTGAATCCATGGCCTCTCTTACAACACTCTCTCCTACTATCACCAGACTACCCCGTGAGGGGAAATCAACACCCCTACTACTTTGTTACTCCGTACTATCATGGCTTACTTCCATCCATCACCATTTGTGCATCGTCATCCCCATCTCTCCAATTCCACTCCACCACTTCTCCACTTGTTATTACTTCCCAGTTTCGATACATTGACATTTAATATACTGGCAAATGGAAAACAGCATGTTTATTATATGTTTGAAAATGGTTGAACCATAAACACACTTTCTAGTTCCTAGTGGACGATGGAATATAAAGAACATTAATAACTAAACCCGTCAAAGAATTACCCGACTTGTTTTTTATCCAATACCCGATCCGGAAACATTGGGTTTATGAGCAGAGATTTTGTTAACGGAACTCAAAGATGACCTATCCCGAATTAATGCATTGGCTGACCTGCCGAGGCAATCTTTATTTTCAAAACCATGTACTTTAGTATGAAATATAATGCAATAAAATTGGACATATTTAAGTTTTTCTTTTTATTTATACTATTGTAGTATATTAGCATAGCTTTAATTGATATATTTATATATATTTATTACTTCTTTTTTTTCCAAAATACAAGTGGTTGGCATAAAATCAAATATTCTAAAAATAATTGCTTTTGAACATTTGGCCATGAGCATGCATTTTCCAACGCAAACCCGAATTGACGCAAACCCAAAGTAACTAAACCTGGATCCAAACATGACCGAATCCACCTGTTTGTCAGCTATATTAATAACGATTCAAAGCCTCGCTCCCAAAACACGGTGAAACAAAAAAATGAATATTTTTGAAATATAAAAATGTAAAATAATTTCCCTAACTACAGAAGCCTTAAATCATGTGGAAATATTTTGTTGTTGTTGGGGTTAGAGATTTTGCGTTATATTTTTTATTTATTTTGCTTTAAAAGCATGGAGCAAAACCAATATGTAAAGTTTATCATGCCCCTAAGTATATATGTTTGGAGGTCGAGCTCAGTAGGTTTACAGAAACCGCAATAGTTTTGAAATTTCCTTGTGGCATTAACTTATGAAAAATCAATTGTTTTAATGTCATTGGCTTCTTGTCTCCTTGTTTGTTTAGTTTCTTAATCTATTACTTTTGTTTCCAACTTAATTGTTTGCCATTTATCTACAGCCCTGTTCGATGGGATTCGCTACTGGCGGGAAAACATTCTTCTTGTGGGGAGGATGCATGATGGTAATTAGGTTTTACTGATTTTAAATAAAAGTACTCCTTAGATGCGTTGCAAATACTTTTGCTAATATCATTGGTAGACTAGATCAAGTGCAAGTGGATGAGGAAAGACATCATTATTTTGTTTAATAATTCATTTCCTTTCTTTCGCCTTAGATGCGTGCAGATGATTTTAGAACAGATCGACATGGTGTTGTTTCACAGCTTAGAGATGGTGGATACTCAGATGATATGACACTTGCAGCTATTGCTGGTATTTGTTTCAGCCATTTTGTATCCCTGTTTAACTGAGTGATTTTGAAATTGGTATCTTTGTTGGTAATTCCTTAGGTGCTAATAAGAGGCTCATTACTTCACCACCGGTTGCAGTCTTTCCTCATCCACTAGCAACTGATCTAACCTTCCCAAGGCATGTAGTTGGCAAAAATGCCCAAAAATCTTAGTTCTCCATATAATTATTCTTAAGAGTTAACTTTGTCCTTTTGATAGCTAGGTATTGGAACTATTTAAGGAAGCAAACATTTGTCTTGGAGTCATACACGACAAAAGTTAATTGGATTATGAACCGTGCATTATTTTTTACCCACTGCTATCTGTCATGGGGATTTGTTGCTCCATATTTCATGGCTGGCTTTCATGTTGCAGCAGCACTAAGACGGCACTTTAGAGGCTATTCCTCTGATGAATCAGTTTCTACATGCAATGGTAAGCATTCTTGATGCATTTTAAGGGTGGTCTAATTTGTTGTTAAGACTAATATTTGCGGAGTATCATTCTTTGTATTGTACTTGGTTTTATGTTTTTTAGTGTTAGTATCAGTATTGTTTGCAGAGACTCTATCTCTGATGAAGCTTATAAGAACAAATTAGAAGTACCAATATAGTACATGAAGGATGTAGAGTATTATATTGTATTTGGAACAAGATCTCTAAGTCAATTTGCATGACTGCGCTTTTCATATTTTTCCCATTTTATGTTTTAATTTTTCTCAGGTTTGCCGCTGGCTGTCTGCCTTGCTATATGCACAATAATTGAACTTCTTTCTATGGGGAACTTGACAAGAATAGAAGTTAAATTGTGCAATCTCCTTTCTCCGGAGGCACCTCGGTTATCGCTCTATTCTTATAACTGGTGTCTTGTAAGTCTAATTTAACTTTACCAAAAACAGTGCACCTTCATTTTTTTGATGTTGCTTATTATTGTGATGTTCTCATAAATATATCAAAGAGTGCAAATTTGAAGGACAAAACCAATGCTTCATTTGAAGGGTGGGAAAAACAATAAGTACAATTATAGTAAACTTCCTTGTCATCATGATCCATGATTTTGTATGTTGGCCTTGCAATAGCAATCATGTAATCAGCATGACAAAAGCAAAAAATATATATTAACTCATTGTCGCCTCATGATATTTTTTATGCATGTGTATATAACTTATGATGATGCTTTTGGAAGTTTGGTTTCATTATTCCTTGCAAAAATTGCGAGATGAAGAGCATGGCGTCAAGCTGTCACTATACATTTCATGTCACCAACCTCAACTAGTTGGGATTAAGTTGGCACCATACTATTTTAGTCAAGTTAGCACTAATGCACCATTATGATGAGTTTAGAGAACCCCCATATTTTATCTCTTCCAACTACATACATTGTCTCACTTGTGCATGTAAGACCTATGCCACATTTCAGCTCATAACTTTAATACTGAGTTAAAAACTTCTCCATATCACTTTTCATAATGATGTGTTTACTAATGTATTTGGCAGTAGTTTTGTACTTACAACATGAGAGGTCTCAAAGATCATTGAGCTTAATGAGACCGTGTCACGCATGTTTTGGTCACTCATTGAAGTTGACTTCGCTCATGTTGACTGTTGAAATTGTTGGATCTTGCAAATTCCTTTACATATACTATCACCATTTCTGGCCTCAGTCATTTTCCGATCTAAATACGAATTCTCCATTTTTTCCTTTTTATTCTCTCCTGCTTCCTTTCCTCACTCTCTAGCTTCCAAAGTATGACATAGTTTTTATATATGCAGTTAAGGTTGTATATGTACTAATATGACATTGTGACTCATGATTCTATTAGCTACACTCCATAGTTGGGTCACACGAGACCTGTGACTTTTCAGCTCAGAATCGATATTAAATCAGTAGTTCTTAGCTATTGATGTTCACTTTTCAAAATGCCCCTTTTTCACAATTTTTACCACAGGAGTATTAGTTTTTTTTGTTGAAAAATGACAAGTTACACACAAGCTTGTGTAATTATATAGGTGAAGCTGATATGACTCGTTGAAGTTGACTTTGGTTGTGTTGAGATGGTTTAATCACACTCTATAACCAAGGCAATGCTTGATCTCTCATTGAATAGGTTTTTATTGCAATGCTGGTGGACAATTTCTTATACCCCATCTCTGCATTCCGTTCGTATTTTTCCCAGTCCATCAATTGGTCCGGCATTCGATACCATTTGCATAATGGGAAGATAAGCAAGGTATGCATCTTATTAGTGCACCCTTCCACATATTATCCTTGATCATCACACCCTTGACTGAACTCGTTCTTGTTTCTCCACACAAGTCAACAACAGTCTTGTTTAAATACACTTACAACAGACATGTGAAAATGATGCTTCACTACTTGCAGATTGAAAGGCACCGGGACATCGTTCCTAAATACACTGATTTGGGAGGAAAGAAGCTAAGATGGAAGGGAGGTCCACATAAGGTTTCTATCATTAGTTCTCTGTGCAGAAGTCTGGCATGTTGGCATCAGCCGAAGAAGTATGATACGTAGATGTTTTAGAAACCATTTTATTCATATTAGGGCTTTGTACTCTGTACACCACAAGTTGTACACCTTATGCGCCACACACAAATGTCAGTTTTTGTTCTTATACCCCCACAAGTTGTCTATGCGGTGTTTGCATGTGCAAACATCACATAGACACGACGAATTTGTGAGAACAAAAAAGAATGTTATTTGTGTGTGGTATGAGTTAATGTGTACACACTTTTGGGGTGCAAAAAAGCATTTCCCTTTATATTATAAGTTCATTTGCTCCCTTAGTCCCTCTTTTTTACAACACGTAAAAAGGGACCGAAGGAGAAAATTCTTTTGGGGTTTACTACTCACCCTGGCTTCACTCACCACTCATATAGAGTGGGGTTAAGAGTGATCCCTATGTATAATTTGTTCTGCCTCCCATTGATTTTGGGCTGGTTGGGTTCCTGTAATTTATTTTCATTTGTTCTTTTTAGTTAGCTCTTTAATTTTCTCAAACAATTTGTGAGTTGTGACTGACATCTTAATGGGAAAATTTTCACTTTTGGTCCTTGTACTATTGGTGGCATTCAGTTTTGTCATTGTCTTTTTAAACTTGATAAGCTTTCTGGACTGTAAAAAATTTCCATTTTGTCCTCCCATTGGTCATCTGAATGCCAGTTTGAAGAATATAATGAAAATGAAAAGCTTTAGACAGGCATTGCATGTAGACTCATGTTACCTCTCACAGTCGTCATATGTGATTGAGATGAAAAAAAAAGAATTTAACGTTATGCTTTAGCATCTTTTAATTTAAATTACACCTCTAAAACTTGTTTAAAACTTTGACGCTAATTATAAATGATGTTTCCAAATGGTCCATTACATATTGCTTAGTGAGTGTTTGGTAACCTGAGTACATTAGGAATTTTAAAGAGGGACTTTACACGTGGTTTTGAGATAAATTTTATTGTTTGACTATGAAATTTTAAAGTGTTCAATTGAAATTTGTTTAAAAAAGATAAACTCGTCTCAATTTCAAAGAAAAATATGAAATTTATTTTGGAACAGAGAAAATATTTGATAAAGCCTTTAAATGAAGAAAAATTTGTTCAAATTTTATAAGGTCAAAAAAAAATCCGTAAATTATTCTTTCATTTTCAATAAAGTAACCCCCATAGCTTCAAAGTATTGTTCGGATCATCCAAATGTGACTCCAGTTGTGTCATCATTCACATCGACAAACATAAAATAGCAGTACTGTTGTCTATCTTTTAAAAAAATAATAAAGATAATATTTGTTGTATCCTTTAATTAAGGAAGTTTTGTTCAAACTTCATAAATTTAAAAATATATTCCTAAGCATTCCTAGAATTTTTTACTTGAGAAAGTTATCATTTCTTTTTTGGAAAACTAACTCCAATATATTCAAAGTACTGTTAGGTCATCCAAAGGTTACTCCAATTTTGTCCTCATCATTTACATAAACAAATACACACAAATATGACTATCACTATTTGTGCATGTCTATAAGGCGCGAGAAGAGGTCACTAGCTTAGCCAAGCCAACCGAACCCAACATCACTCTAAGAGGGTCCTTAAAATGTAATGTTAGGTGTACACCAAATGGTAGCTCAGATTGTACCCTACCATTTTTTTAACCACACAATTGTTATCCTCACTTTTACTTTTTTATTCACACCAAAAACAAGGTGATGCACCAAAAAAACAAGTGCACACCTTTGTCAAACCATGTTAATTGGGTCTCATCTCTCACTTTCCAAAACATATTTCAAGAAAACTTTTAGAGTACATTATAAACAACAGTGCATTGTCAAAATGAGAATCAAATAAGGAAAGAAACAATAAACATAAAAAAGCCAACTTGCCAACAGAGAGCTATCAAACCCAAAATAATACATATTTATTGGGAACTTCAGTACAAATGCAAGATTCATTAGGCAACAGAGCAGCTAATCAAACCAATTGCTTGCCAAGCTCTATGAAATAAAGATTGCCCATACGTCTATGGAGTGCAGATGATCAAATGAGCCATTTTTAAGTGAACCAGAAGCAATCTGATATAGTAATGGATGGAAATGCTTCAGCAAGAGGAAGGATCCAATGAGCACAAGAATGTGTACAAGGATTATTGTTTTTCCAATTCTCCGATGCAGAAATCGTCGATCATCTCAAATACTCGGGTAGCATGTTGAGGCCTGGCACACACACCGATATGAAAAACACCGTTAAACCAAATGGAGCGAAGAAAAGTGGAATGATGTAAGTTTGGTTGGGGGGTAGTGGTGGACCGTGGACTTGGGCTGGGTTAGGGTGGCCTATAATTACTAAAAAATCGTATGCCCAAGCCCAGCCCGACAATATAAAATGGGCCTCGTATTTTGTCCAAGCCCACCCACAAGAAAAAGTTGTGACCAGGGCTGGCCCAAGCACGCCCAAAATATGGTAATGTAGATGTGAAAATGTGTTTTATTCCAGATGCATTGGTATGAAAATATTAAGAAATTAGGAAAACAAGAAGAAATTTATAAGCTTATACAAAAGTTTAATGAAAAAAAGTAGCCCTAGAGCAGAATTTGACTAAAATAGTTGATTAAATCTTGTAATATTCACACATTTCACATGAATATATAATATAATAATATATTATTACGAAACAAGAGGTAACATGACTTTTACGTTATCAAATGAGTAGAAAAAAGAGGTATAAAAGACGCTTAATGAACTAAAGAAAAACAACACATTAAACATTCGTTCCTTCTTACGTTCTATCAAGTCCTGTGCTGCATATGTAGCAATGCATCAAGGGTCTAACAGACACGACCTCACATACACATCCTTACCCACATACCCAAACGAAGTTAGGATTATATTGGGTTTGTTATTGTTGTAGTTTTTGTAAACCATTGATTTTTTTATCACTCGTCCATTGAACCAACCACAATACTCCCTCTCTCCCAAATTATAGTGCCTGTTAACTATTCACAAGGTCAAAGTTCATTAAGCTTTTTTTATGCCTCTTTTTGCTACTCATTTGATAAAGTAATAGTCATGTTACCTCTTGTTTTGTAAAACTGTTGATGTTGTTTTTAAATATGTAAATTTTAATTGTTGATTCCACCCCAATTTTCAAATGAATTGGATAAAAAATAACATCAGTCAAATAACATAAACTGAAACAGGCACTATAAAATGGGACGGATGTAGTAATATGTTTAGTTCTTTCGCTTTGTTCCCCTCGCCTGCAATGGATTATGATTGATGAAAATGTTAATAGGGATAGAAGTGCTAATTCTAGTATAAGTAAACACATTTTTTATTAATAAAATGAGTGTGTGGTTTGTTCTTTTAAAAAGCATTTGTGGGAGAAGGAAAAACAATTTTACATATACTCCCAAGAGCTCAACTTTTGAGCTTTTGGAAGTAGAGGTAAAACTATTTTATCTTTTAGAAAATGAAGCTAGATGAGTTGTAATACGTATAATATTTTAACTTTTTTTGTAAAACACTGCATGACTGCATCCATTGCCAATACAACTAAATGAGTCATTTTTTACAATGCTTTAGCATATGTAAGTTTTGTGCCGCATATGTAACAATGCATCAAAGATCTAATGGACACAACCTCGCGTACATCCTGACCCACAGACCCAAACGGAGTTAGGATTATACTGGGTTTGTTATTGTTGTGTTTTTCTAAAGCATTGATTTCTCATCACTCATTTGTTGAACCAAACATACTACTACTCACGTCTTGTGAAACAAAGACATGGATTATGATTGATCAAAATGAGTGTTTGGTTTGTTCTTTAAAAAGCATTTGAGGGGAGAAGGAAAAACAATTTTATATCTACTCCCAAGAGCTTTTGGACGTAGAGGTAAAACGTAACTATTTATCTTTTAGACAGTGAAGTGCCTTCTCAACTAAAAGCTGAACACTCAATAACGTTTTCACTAAAAACATGACTCACAGAAGCTCTTATTTAAGAGTTTCTTCTCAAATAATCTGTATTTATATATGCTGAACCAAGCATGCTATTCATAAAAACACTACTTATCCCTCCACTTTTGGCCCTCCAAATGTAACTGAATAAGAAAAGGAAAAGAATCTAAAAAAGAGAGCAAGAACACACACCCGTAGAAACCTTCAGTTGAATCATCACCAGCATGTGCAAGGATGGCATCACCCCCGGGATGTTCTTCAACATATGACGTAACATCAAAAACCTATATTTTTCAAGGACACAAAATAAACTAATCTAAGATCACAGAAATCAATGCAAAAATATAACAATGAATAACTTCTTCAAAGTAACAGAAACCACAGTGTGTGCTGTCAAAGAAAACCTTGTCTTTGATAATGATCCAGCAATCAGATCTCTTGTTATGCAATGCAACTTCTGATTTACTATAGGCTTTCTGCACCTTCAGTTTGAAGAAAAGGAATATCAAGAGAAGCAAGGAAAAAATCAGATAAACAAAACAGAAAAAGAAGAATTTGCAATAGAGTTCAAAATTCATCACCAACGTAGTCATGGTGTAATGGTGTAAAATTAGTTAATGCTGCACTAATGAACTCATGAGGTTTTATGATGATTATCCTCTCTGTTAGGTCATTGGAAATAATGTGAAAAGGCTACATAAGTACTTAATGAAATAAAATTTTTACTTATGAATAGCTAAGCAGCCTAGGCTAGCAGCAAGCATCGTGATTTCTATCCAAAAATATTAAACACTTAGCTTTACTACATTAGTCATGAAAGCATAACTTTCAAAAGACTTAAATGTTCTTCCACTTTTCCTTTTCGGTTCATCCCAAAGAGTTTGTATTTCGTTATAAAGGAAGAATGACTTGACCTATGACTCACACTTTCTAAATATTACGTCCATCCCTAAATAAGATTTACAGTTTCTATCTTGGGCGTCACTAAAGGAATATATGGTTCACATATATCTCTTTCATCTAAAGTTATAACTACACTTTTAACACGTGCATTAAACATATACTTTGGGGTAGTAGGAGAGATGGAGTAACTAACAACTGAAAGCTACACAATTGGAATGTTTAATAAAGAGTTGTCAATACATAAATTTTGCAAACCCGTGGGATGAAATAATAGTATTTGAATACCCAAACAACAACAAACCCATTATAATACCAAATCCATTTTTTTAGATCATTTATGCATAATGCAATGCTGCATTTATTTCCCAAGTCTTCATAGAGTGTAGGAAACAAGAGAATTTTAATGGGCCATTTTGGTTTTGTCCATTATCTACCCAAACTAAAGCATTGTCAAAAAACGATTCTTTTCGCTCCATTAGCAATAACTATAAAAGTGGTAAAAGCATAGAGAAATCTCAGTCCCTTCGTGTTAAAATTTTGTTCCCATTAAACTTCTCTTGGTCAAAACTTATAATCTTTCACCATAATATCTGAAAAAACACAACAATACATTGATTTATGATATGAACTTGATACCATTAGATTCATTTTATAATGCAGTTTTGAACAATCATACTTTTACAGTATTTATCAATGTGTGTGTATAAATTGATCAAAGTGTTGCGTGGGAGAGAATAAAATTTCAAATGGGAAGAACATTTTAGGACGGAGGGAGTACCTTGGTTAGGGCATTTACTTGGAGCTTTCCGGTGTGATCTACCAAGAACCCAAAATGAAGGGACCAAATAGAAACATTTAGAGTGTGTGTTTATATATATAAACAACATGCCTTCAAGATTCATAATGAAGCACACAGACAGAAATAAGCCACATTAATTGGTGAAAAGAAGAAGCAGAAGAAGAAGAAGAAGAAGAAGAAGAAGAAAAATACCAGATTTTGTGCGCATTCTAGTTTTAGGGATAATTAGGATGAGCAATCCTAGCAAGATCCCAATCACCAAAGATGCAAACGCTACCTCCATACACTCACCTCCACTTCTCTACCCCACAAAAAAATATGAAGAAGGAGCTCTCAGCTCTGCAAAACCTGGGGAATGTAGATAGTAGATACCCGCTGAGCCCAGCTCTGTTCTGGGTGAGTATGAAATTCGGTATTGCACGAAGAAAAATAATCTACTTTGTACATAGTACGGAGTACTAAATTAAAATTATGTACTGTATTTAATAAAAGATTAAATCAACATATCAAACTTTTGTTCAAATCAAAATCAAATTAACATGACCAGATCAAATCAAATTAAACTTGATCAGATATAAAATCAAATTAAACATGACCTAATAGTCTCTATTATTTAAAAGTTAAAACTATAACTCTTTTCTTTTAACATTGGACACCCATATCATAATATGACATTGACTCTAACTGGAGCACCAATAAAAAATTGTACAACAATCGAGGGTAAAAAGTTAAATCTTTTGCCTACTCAAACTATTAAAAAAAATATGAGATGGGTGAAGTATTTTTTTGTACAAGATATGATCCATAATGTGCTGAAGTCACTTTCATATTTTTCTTTATAAAAACAAGTTAATTGTATTTTGCTATGTTCACCACCTAAATTAGTTTACAGTTTTACTTTGTTAGAAAAAATGGATCCAATGAAACTATTTTAATTAGTCGTTCTAACGCGATTATCCAAATCAATTTTCTTTGCATCCTCACTATCTAAACTTACTTCAACAAATCCCAACCAACCCAAATTTTTGCACTCAAATTCCAACAAATCTCTCTTTTTTTGCAACCATTTGCCCCAATGCTAAATGCTTACTTGCAACAACTTTTATCAATTCTTGAGAAAAAAACTTAGCCACACCCTGTGACTCCATGAATATAGTCCTCCATACTTTCCCAAGTGCAGAGAGAGTATCAATTAGATTGAAAACCATTAGCCAAGTCAAGTAGATAAAAGTAGTAGAAAAGAAAAAGAAAAAGTAAAAAAGAAAATAAATGAGAAAGTAGGAAAATATATACTTTTTAAATATATGAATGTATTTTAAAATTTTACATCTGTAATCAAATAAATTGAATTGAAAATAAAGTTGGTCAAATCTCGTAAATAAAAATGGGAAATTTGTTTTAGGCGGATGGAGTAGCTAGTTTGGCTCCACTTTCAGAAATGGGAATTGCAAATAACAATCTTCAAGAAAAGCAATTCCAAATTCCTGAGAAAAAAATGAAAGCTCAATGTGAAAAAATGGAAGCACTTGAAAAAAGACGTAAAATAAGCTATATACGACTGATATAAAATTGATAATGAAGGAGATCCAATGTCAATTCAGAATGAGAAACCAAGAGAGTGATATATAAATTATGTCAAGCATCTTAAGGAGAAGTGAGGTTTGCCACTTATTGCATGGTGTAATATTAGTATGTTGTGTGTATGATGTAATATCAGTATGTTATGTGTGATATTTAGGTCTTTTTTCCATAAATTAGGGTCCTCTCTTTTGTGTAAGAGCTCACATTAGTGTTTTTATTCTAGATATTAAAGCTGATGTATGTGAGTTGTCGTCTCTATTGTGTAAGAGTTTGCATATGTTCCTTTTTTCCAGAAGTAAAAGTTCATGTGAGTTGTCATATTTTTTGTATAAGAATTATCACGTGCGTCTAGTGTCTTTATTCCAAAAATTAAAGTTGATGTAAGTTTCACGTCTCTTTTGTGTAAAAATTCATGCGTATCTTTATTGTATAAGAATTCACATGGGTGTGTTTAGCTTTGAAAGATTCTTTCACCATTTAACTTCTTATATACATCTATTCCAGATAATTTATTCACCACAAAACTAAGGGTCCGTTTGGTATAAGGAATTGGTGGAATTGGAATTGAATTGGAATTGAAATTCCATGAGATTCAATTCCATAGAATTGAATTCTGTCAATTTCAGTTCTTTTTTGCACTATCAATTCCAAATTCACATAATTTTTGTGCTACCAAACACCAGAATTGGAATTGAAGTCCCCCAATTCCAATTCCATAGTTTGAATTCCATGTATCAAAGGGACCTAAATACCATGTCTTTCTTATCATCATCATCATCATCATCATCATCATGAGATTATTCTTCTTCCATTAGTAGCTCTTCCAATTGAAGTGCATATGTTAATCGACCAAGTCATACGAGTCATAAACCGCCCCATTGTGCAAGAGATAACCCACAAATTGAAAGAAACAATTGCAAAATTCTAAGCAACAACATCACCGTTCAAACCAAGACACCGATGATGTAGATTCATTGAAAAAAATCGTGAATCTGGATGTACAACTTTTTGTCAATTAGTTTGACAAACATCTAACATATACGATGTATTTCATCAAAGATTTTGAATGAGATCTTCACACACACGTGTATATATTACTCCCTGTATTGAAAAAAGTTTTAATGATTTGCAAGATATGAGTCTTGTCCCACATCCGTGGCATGGGAAGAAATGAGGAGCGTATAGACCAAGGCGTTTCCATTTTCATTCTTCGTGTGAAGCTTGACTTGAAGTATAGAGACAGGGCATAGCCACTAACTTGCATTTCTTGACAACTTCATTTGCCAAATCATTTTTGGATTCCCCGCTTGAGCTTAGAGTCTCCACCATGAACTCGTCGTACCTCTTCCTCTCACCATTCATCGGGTACGTTGATGTTAAAGCAAGACAGTTTCTCAATTTCTGAACACAATTAAAACAAACTGCATTAGTACTACTACCCTATTTGTTAAGCAATCACATTTAAATCTCTGATTTAGATGATTACTCACCAACAGGCAGTGGTGTTTTGGTTTTGTATAGTGTTAAAAATTTCACTAAAGACAGAAGTTGAGTGATAAGAGTTAACTTATCCAGTGTCAAATGTTTGGGGATATTGACCTATGTTAAAAAAGTGCAAATTAAAGCCAATTAAGAACAACCCATCACTAGAGTGATTGATAGAGATAATACTTGGGATTTGACCTTCCTGCGTGTCTCTATACACATTACAAGTCGCAACTGAATTATACGGAAAGAACAAAGTCTCATATCTTTTCAAATTCATTTTGCGAATTGCACATTAAGGCTGATTGATTGCAGAAAGCACAAAGTTGTTGGTGCATAATACGGAGTAATATGTTTGAAGGTGCCCAAAAGATCATATTACGTGAGGAAAATGACATCTTCTCGACAAAGCTTAAAATAATCTTCAGGAAAATATACCTATTAGTGCCAAACATATGAAAATCCAGACAATATAATATATTTTCCTAGAAACAAACTGAGCTATCTGGAATCTGACCTTTTAAACCCTTTTTGGTGCATCTGAAGTAGTTAAGATCTATCAAAGGTACTATTTTTCCATCGTGGCTTCCATATTCAGTAACATAGCTATCACCAAAGTATGAGAAGCATGTCGCCATCCATCTGTCACAAACGGCAAGTATACTATAGCTGAGAAAACACAAAGCGATATGTGCATGCGTATAATTCTTCCTTAGTCACCATAGATAGACAGCATTGAAGATGTGTCTCATTAAGTGGCACTCTGGAAAAGCGCATACTGTTTGCAAGAGAATCACAATCAAGATCTTTGTAGTTTTTGATGCAGCTGCTACAAGAAAATGAAGTGACGAAAAACAATAGTGAGATTTTAATTTAAAGATGACAAACAAAAGAGAACTGAAAAACAGTAATACATGGTGTCATGGAGCATTGCAAGCTGCATGGGCCATCCTTTTTCTTACCAATGTGCGTTTTGATGGAAGAGAGATTTGCAAAGGGTCAAAAGAATTAAGAATCCAAATATCGGTTATTAGGGTGCTGCATTCTTGTATTATGATACACCATTACTTCACAAATCACAACAAAAGCTAGCTCTCTAGTGGACTTTTGACATCAACTAAACACCACTCTCATTTCTAAAAGAGCCAATATTGAACTCGTAACAGCCAAGAATTACAACATGGTGCACAGACACAACCATTATACTACCAAAAACTCTCCACATTTTGATAAAACCATGACTATATTAAAATCTTATGTAGTCATTCTTCAAAGCTAAGGGTGGTTGTGACCGACCTCAGAACAGATTGTTTGATAAATACTCCGTAAGAAATAAACAATACCAAAACCAATCCATCATTTGTTTAGCATCTTCAACAACTATGAGCCAAACATACAAACAAGTACCTCAGGGTCAGCCACATTCAGATTGCCATTCAACTTACAGGAATCAACAATTATAAATTGACAAGTTTGCATCCCACAAAATCAACCAAAATCCATCTACATACAACTTACAAGAAGCATTGATTGTAGCATCCACATCAAAACCTGTTTAGGTGAGAAATATTCTGTTGATATGGTTGAAACCGCTGAATTTTCTGAAAGGACGAGCATTTGGTAAAATCCAAATAAGAAACTACTCATCTTCAGAAAAAACCACTTCGTGCAACCAAATAAGCTATAATTTGCAGCCACCATATCAGATTAGCATTGGCTGAGACCATTCCACTTCTCGTAACAAATTGCATTGAAAATGGGGCAAGTGAGTATCACTTGTATGCATGTAAAAGATACTCAAATGAGCCATAAGCCCAAAAAGCAAGAAATTTCAGCCCAAGCTTGTGGGCAAGCTATAAGCAGGAATTTTGCTGAGTTTTCTCTGCTTCAAAATTTCTCTCATCCTTTCCACATCTTCCCAAAGACCACTACTGGCATAGATATTGGACAAAACAACATATACCCCATCACTCCAAGGTTCCAACTCTTGCAAGTGCTTAGCTGCCCATTCTCCCATCTTCACGTTCCTGTGTTTTTCACAAGCCCCCAAGAGGCATCCCCAAATCACAACGTTTGCCTTCATTGGCATCCCCTCCACCATATCCCTAGCCTCCTCAAACAACCCTGCCCGTCCAAGCAAATCAACCATGCACCCATAGTGTTGTAACATCGGCACAATCTTATATTCATTTTTCATCATGTTAAAATAGTACTTCCCCTCTTCCACCTTCCCTACATGCACACAAGCACTCAGAACCCCAACAAAGGTCACATGATTAGGTTTCACGTGAGCTTCCCTCATGCAACGGAAGGACTCAAGCGCATCCTCCCCATGCCCATGCAGAGCATAACCAACGATCATAGATGTCCATGACGATACATTTCTTTTTTCCATCCAAGAAAACACTCTATATGCAAGATCCATCCTCCCACATTTCCCATACATGTCAATAAGTGAATTCATCATCAACAGATCAGATTTCTCAGCCATCCTTACTTGAATCACGCACTTATGCAATTGCAAACCCAAACTCAAGTCCCCTAAACTACCACAAGCGGAAGTAACACTAACCATGGTCACATCATCAGGACGAAACCCAGCCTTTCTCAACTTTAAAAACATCTCAAGTGCCTCCCTTGCCCTCCCTCCTTGTGCCAACCCAGAAATCATAGCATTCCAAGAACCCAACACTCTCTCACCATTTTCATCAAACACCTTGCGTGCATTTTCAAACTCACCCGCTTTGGCATACAAGCTAATGAACCCACTCTCGCAATACATGTTAGTGGTGAAGCCAAGCTTTAACGCGTGACCATGAAGCTGTTTTGCAAGAACATAGTTCAAAACGTGAGAAACCGCCTTCAACACAATGGGCAATGTATACTCATCTGCACCAGCACCGGCTCTCATCATTTCTACAAACACTTGTATGGCTTTCTTGGGAGAGCCCAGTCTCGTGTACGATCGTATGATGTTGTTCCAGTAAAACGGCGCTGAATAAAAATCGAGGAAACGGGTTCGGATCAGCCTGGCATGAATTTGCACGAGGTGGAAAACGTTCGCGCAGGAGGAGATCTGGTTTGCGACCACGGCAGCGTAGTCCTGGTGGCAGGGCACCGCCGCGGCGGAGGTTTGAATGGCGGCGGCGAGTGGGCTGCTGAGACGAGAAGAAGATGCTCGGTGCCTGAATTGGGAGGTGGGAAATTTGAGGGGGAAAGAGGGAATGGCGTTCATTGTGGCTTCATGCGCTAGTAGCCTGACAGAGGGGCGGAAGGTCGCCTGAATCAGCTCGCCTACTAGAAGTTGGCCAATTTGCTGCTTGTGTATCCCATTAGCCGTTTGACACTTTTACATGATTGTTGAAAGAAATATTTGCACAAAATAGCACTAAAACTCAAGTCATTTTTCTAAATATCACTTAAATTGTTTTATTCTCTAAATAACAATTAATAATGTCCATAATATCCTGTGATGACAAATATTTACTTGAATAATGACTAAAAGTGCTATATTGGGAAGAAAAACACATGTGGTGCTATTTAAAGAAAGTCATTATGATGTAGTGCTATACTCACTCCGTCCCAGAATATTCGTCCAGTTTTAACTTTTGGAAATGTTCATCTAAGCACTTTGACTCATATTCTCTCAATGTGTAAGCCTAAACATAGTCATGTGTGATCTTGTTTGATTTGTCTTAACATATAGATTATTAATATATAATTTCTATAATTTTTTAATATACAAATTACAAGATAAAATGGATTAAAGAAGTGTATTAGATGGTGTGTAAAAATGAAAGTGGACAAATACTATGGGACGGAGGTAGTACGTAAATTCCTCGAGTTGAAAAATACTCTCATCAATTTCAAATTGACGCTCGGCAACACTACAATGCCATATTTTAGAAAAGCAAGACATGCTGAGAGTTTGACTATGTTTTTGTAGTTTTCACTTGTACCAACTTCAGCCCTATTTGGATTTGACCAAACAAGTAAAGGGAAAGCGGTGTATACTAATTTGTAGGGCCACAGTACGGCCCTACAATGCCATATTCAGACCGGAGGTTGGGATTTCTTGTGTAGGGCCACAGTACGGTGTACCGACTGGTATAAAAAGTTTACCCTTCGAAGTTTTCCATTTTAAGGCATTTTGAGCTATAAGAAAGAACTCCTTGCATGTCTGTGGGGCTAACTTCTCCCTTTAACGAGCTGCTAGTTCTTGATTTACCTTCTTCCACATACCTCGTCAGGGCAGGGTGTGGGGGGGGGGGCAGGGGGCTTGGAGATTCAACTTTTTGCAACAAGAAAAGTAGGAGGGGATGGGGTGAAGGGGGCAAGAGGGAGGTTTAAGGGATTAGAGAATATGAACAATAATATCCGTTTACACTCAAAGTGAGTGTCAATAGGACGCCAATATTTTAAATTTACGATGGATCTTATATTGAATCTTTTGACATTAAAATGCGACGAACACATATAGTATTCCATTGAAAACTTGATGATTCTTACTCTCTAATCCTCCAAAACTTTCCTTCTCCTAGGCCCCACCCCAGCCCCTATGCATCCCCATGATCATTTTCTTAAATTACATGAAAAAAGACATTAGAACTTTTAAAAATAAAATGGACTAAAATAAAGAGTTGCTTATAGCATTGTATAGTAATCTTTCTTTATGTTTACTTCTCCCAGAGCATGATCTTCTCTTAAAGAGAAAACCCACTGATTTGATCATTTTCATGGAAGAGATAGAGGTGATTGCCATCTAACAATACATATCAATGGCCGTGATGATTGTGTGACTATTATCGCACAAACTATAGCATAAGTAGCAGGTGAAGCCTCAACTAATAACGAACCTGAGAACAAAACATAAAATTTTTAAAGGCGTGGCCAAGGGCATTATTCATCAAAATGTTGGACAAATAAACAATACTCCCTACATTACAGTTTCTTGGTTGAGTGGAACTTTTTATATACTCCGTATAAGTATTTGCATTGGGGGGGGGGGGGGGNCTAGGGTTACAAGGATTGGATTGTTTTGACACTGGGGTACAGGGGGTTGGGGATGGGGGTTGGGGTCGGGGTTGAGTGTGGGTACCACTTTGTAATCGAAAAAAATACAATATGTATTTCGAATAACAGTGCCATAATATAACACTAGAGTGGACTGTCAAAAGGACCCCAACGTTTTAAATAAGATCTTATCCCAAATAATGGGACACCAATGCCACTATTAACACCACCTTTTTTTGTTCTTTGAAACATGAGAGCAAAGCATGTCCACAAGTGTTTGTGCTAGAATCAATAATGTGATTGAAGCTTTGGGCGATCAGACTCATGAATAACAACAGATGGAAAAAACTGACTGAAATTAAACTCAGAAAACAAAAGAAACTGCAATACAATACCATCCTTATTGTACAAAATAAGGACGTTATTCAACGAAAATAAAGCACAGTTAACATACACCGTGGTAAGGGCACAAAACAAAAAACCGTGGAAGTGATCTCACGAAGAAAAAAAGAAAAGAAACACGATGGACCTCTATAGAGCTACTTGTGATGAGGATGAGTGGACGACTTCCCAGTTTGCCACTCCTTCACTCACAGCATTACACCAAATTCAACGATAGTTTCTGTAGACGGGAGTGTACATGCAACTTTCAGCATACTTCACCAAATCTGCAGGTCGAGGAAGACGAGTCGCAACACCTGAAGTTTTTTTTTTCAGATTTTGTTAGTTAAAAAGGGGAAAAAACGACAAACTCATACTTTTTAGTTACTGAAGCTGAACACAAATTAAACTATTTACGAAGTGAGGCACCTACCAAGTTCATATGCCTTAGCAGCAACGGTAGCTGCTATATGAGCTGAGATCTTCCTGATATTTGTGAAAGGGGGATAAATCATCCCTTGGGCATAGTGTTCTTCTGTTACTTGACTAGCCAAAGCCTCCGCTGTTCTCAGGTTACAGGGAAAAAAATTAGCAGGGCTTAGAAGCTACGTAGTGTTGACTGAAATTCATCCATCAGCTTAGAGCATATTGATTTCATATACTTACAAGCTGCTAGGAGCATATCATCGTGTACACGGATCGTGCCCGACATGACCAGACCAAAACCGAACCCGGGAAATATATAGCAGTTGTTAGCCTGTGGCGACAGTAGGAGGAAAGAGTTAATAAAGTCATTTAGATAAAGATGGTTTTAAGGAAAGTTTCATCACAATGCATGACCTGTCCAGGTATGTTAAGTTTGCCGTTGTATTCTACAGAAGGGAATGGGCTTCCACTTGCAAACACTGCACGTCCCTATAAAAAAAGATGCATAAAAATTTCAGTTTGGTTTTTAGATATATTGGTCTGACTAAAGTTGTTTCAGCTGGAAAATGTAGCATCACCTCAGTCCATTTGTAAGCATCTTCAGCGGTACATTCGGCTTGTGATGTAGGGTTTGAAAGTGCCATTATAAGAGGTCTCTGAAATGCCAATTCATTTAGACCTTTGGTTCAGGTTGAATTCAAACCAAAAAAGTCAAAACGTGGGCCGATTAAAGATTATGAGTGTGTACCTTGTTAAAGGCAGCCATGGCTTCAATTACTTCTTTTGTAAATGTTTTTCCAACTCCAGAAGTCCCTATCAACACTGTTGGCTTGATGGCCTATAAAGTATGGAAGTGGAAGAAAGGCCATGGAATATGAAGAACAAGCGCTTACTTGCTTAAGTCAGTAGCAATATAGCTGAGCATTTAACAAACCTTGACAGCATCTAAGAGATTGTTAGTAGGTTCATGTTCGTGTGCCCAAGGCTTCTTGAAGGACTGAAGAGATGCTTTTCGAGAACTAACAATTAACCCCTGCGGACATGTTACAAAGACACACTTCAGTACTTGTTTGGATGAGGAAACAAACAGACCCACTAATAGAAAATCCAGATCAAATTATAGGGAAGATGAAATTCAATATGCAAATATTCCTCTACCTTCGAGTCCACAAGCCAGATCCTTTTACGTGTTTCCTCAACAGGAGCCTTTGTCTGGGGATGAAATGCAAATGTTAGTAAACACAAGTCTCATCAGGCCAATGTGAGAGGATAAACAGTAATACAACACATCAATACCTTTTTTGAAATCTCAAGAGCTATTAGTTCAGCAATACCTGTGCCAGCCTGCAAGCATATTTTTTATTAGTTCATTTTTTTCACATAAACGGCACCAAAATTTATGCAAAAAAGCTGGAATATTTTCCCAGTTACTAACACAAGGAATAAATTAACTGCACTTTTTGGTCGTTTGTCAGATTTCAACTTTTGATTCCCAACTTTAACAAGGTTCCGCGTTTAATACAAAACCTCTTAAAGTGCTGTATGGTGAGATTTTCCAAAAGTCCATAAAGTTAAGATATCTTGGACTTAGAACTTTTTTAAAAGTGATGACATGTTGGTGAGAACTTTGCTCATAAGGTGACCACTTTTCATTCAATTATTATTACCTCTCCAGCACCAAGGAACAAGAACTTGTGGTCAGCTAAGGTACCCCCAAGAAGCTTAAGTGAGGCCACAAGGCCTGCAAGAACCACAGCAGCTGTCCCCTGCAAGGTAGAGGTCCAAATATTAAAAGGAACAAAGAGATTCTTTCAGGTCTAAACAAAAGCTGAAACAGGTAAAGATAATAGTTCGTTTCATTACAATTTATATTTCTATAAAAAATTAATAAACTATGTTATTAAGGGTATTAGATATGAAATAGTTATTTCTTCAATTATAATGTGACATTCAATCTTATCTATTCGTATGAAATAATAACATACTTCTATAATTTAAAAGAAGTAAAACTAATGTTTTGACCTCATTCATCCTGTTCATTTAAAATATTTGCTAATTATCATTTTAATTAATAATGTTTGACATATTTACTTAGTTGGACATTGTTCTTAAAATTAATTATAACATAATATATTGGTGGGGTGTGAATACAATGATATAGTTGTGATGGATTGAATATAAAGATTTGGTGTAGTGTGACTAACAATGACCATTATTTAATGGATATACCTGTATATCATCATTGAACACCAAATGAGTAGTACCATATTTGGCCAGCAGCTCAAATGCATTGTGGTTTGCAAAATCTTCAAACTGAAATTGACATTAAACCCTATCAACACTAACAAATGAAGGTGATGTTACATGGATATCCGAACATTCGTCAAGTGGATACAGACCTGCACAAGAATTTTTTCACCGTAGTTTTGCTTTACAGCAGTCATGAACTCGTCCAGAAAGTCATAATATTCCTGAAGGTTTAGTCAAAAGATCAATTCATAGTGATACAACGTAATGTCCTGCAAGTCCTCAAGGGCTGAAATTCACCTGTCCAGTTACTCTCTTTTGTCTAAGCCCGATATAGAACTCGTCCTTGAGTAACTGCTCATTGTTGGTCCCAACATCAATTGTTATAGGCAAACACTGCATATGCAAGCAATACAATACTTCTCGTTAGAAATGTAGGGACAAAGTAGTGCAAACAAATTATATACCAAGCTTTGGTACCGCTGAGGGCCTGACTCCACCAAGTGCTGTATAAAGAGCCAACTTCCCCACGGGTATTCCCATCCCCTATAGCAACAAAGCAGATGCAATACACTTATTATAAAACATTATCTGGTCATAAAGAAATTTGGTGTTGATTTACGAGCAAGAATGAATGGAAGTGGAATTCATTTAAAAGCCCTACCTGGCAGCCAAGGTCTCCAAGTCCCAAAATTCGCTCACCATCAGTTACGACGATGACTTGGATTGTCCTCTCAGGCCAATTCTTCAATACCTCAAGAATCTTCCCCCTGTCCATTATAGAAACATTTGGTAGGGGCTTGTTAGTGCGGTAATAAATATGGCTAGCTACCCAGTCACGGAGAAGAAGCTATTCATCCACAAAGAAGAAACATACTTTTCCTTCAAACTGATGTATAGACCCTGAGGACGCTTGAATATGCTTCCATATTTCTGGCAAGCCTCGCCAACAGTTGGAGTGTAGACAACTGGGAGTAGCTCGTCGACATAATCAATAAGAAGCTTGTAGAACAGCCTTTCATTCATCTCCTGTATAAAACAATGGGCTATTCAGAAAAGAATGATAACCAATGAATCCTTCCTTACTTTAAAAACACAATCTAGAAGCCATTACACATTTTTAGATTAATGGAAGAAAGTCAACAAAAAGAAAGAGATATCCAAATTGAAACAAAACAATGTGGGTGAAGAATAACTTGAATTGAGGACTCAATAAAAAAATATTAAAGCAAAATAAAGGATATCATTGATAAAATGATCAGAAAAAGCATGTGAGGCATACCTCAAGTTCCATCATAGCCATATACTTGTGTATGGGCAGATCATATTGGCGGATACTTTGCATAAATCTCTTCTCCTGTATATAAATATATGAAGTGTGAAAAAACAGATCATTTGCTGGGAGCTCCAAACTAGACCAATACTAACAGCACACCTGAAGCTCCTGGGAAACAACTACAGGCGGAAGGAGACCTCGGAGGTAATGAGCATCTCGTTCGTTCTCTGTGAAAGCAAGCCCTTTGTTGTAACGAGGGTCTCTTAACAAATTGTAGCCACTATATCAAACAATTAACAGGAAATCCAACAGTATGATTAGTGTCAATGCATACAAGGTACATCTAAGACCTAAAACAAAGATGGAGAAGCTTAATTACGCATAATAAAACAGCCTTACTATTGAAACATACAATACAAGAGAGAAATGCAAGCTTCATGACACTTCACTATTCATCTTATATGCAAAATGATTTTAAATGATATCTTCTAAGATCACAATCGAAAATCTATGATCACAATCAAAAGTTTAGCCTAAATGAAAAGTTCAAATCAAATCCAGTCAGCAATCAGAATCCAGAAAAAAACGATTGAAAGTTTGAAACGACTGCAGCGGAGAACTCAGTTGACTAAATTAAATTCGAAAAAAAAAGTGGAGAGTGAGGACGATCGATGCACAGTACGTACAGACCTAGCAACAGAGGTCGCCCAGGGAGTGACGAGCTGATCCTCGGTGGCGCAGTCCTCGCCGTAGACATCTTCCACGCCTCCTCCCGGCGTCGATCGCGGCGACATGTCCAGCACCGTTTCTCCGCCTCTCTTCTCCTTCAGCAGACTCTCCATTATTCTGATCTCTAACAGAATGTATATCGTTTTCTGAGCTCTGAATCGGAACGCCCTTATAAACAGAGAGAGAGAATATAGAATTCTAGCAGATTGCTACAGAGAGAGAGAGAGAGAGAGTCCGGCGGCGACTTGTCCTTCCATTTTTTCACATTTTATTTTTTGCAATAGTCAAAGCTTTCCCGCGTCCGTACTTTCCTTTTCCGCCTGTTAGAAACCAATCACGGAACACGTCAGCAGTATGTGATGCCACGCGCTAATACGTCCTCAATACACGGAGGACAGGAAAATAATCAAATATTCTACTCCGTACTGTCTCGTCTTTTCCGGGTGCAAATTAGTGAATTAGAATTAGGACCATGCTACACTTACACCAAAAAATATACCCCATTTGTACACCACAAGTTTGCACAAACATTTCGATGGTTTACACCGACACAAGTGTTGGTGCGTTAATAAAAATTCACACGGACACAAATGTGGGTGCGTTTAACAAAAATTAGTTTTACACCAACACAAAGTGTTAGTGCAAAACTGCAGGGTACAAATTGGGATACAAACCTTGGGGTACACATAGCATAATCCATAGAATTACTACTTTCTCCCTATGGTTATTTTGAAAAAAAAGAGAAAAAAAGATTAAAATTAAAGAAAAGCATTAAAAATATATTAACGATTTTATATTTTTATTTTCCAAATAAAAGTTAATATGCATTGACATTATCAATCATGATCATTAACCATGTATATAACCAAAAAATATATCTAAATATACATGTACATCATCACATTATCACAGAACGAACTTCTATTTAAAAAATAAAAACATGAAACTCTTATTTTGATACTTTATCTGTGTTTTTACTTCGAAGAGTTTTTTATTAAAAAAAGTCATTATCCTTGCAAATTCATAATTAATGTAGTGCGCAATTGAAAAAAGCAAGTCTGGCCCCATAAGATTGCTTGACCCTCCTTTTGAGCTGCCACTGGATACTAATAAATACGGAGTATCTATATTCTAATTCAAATCATTATTTTCGAATATAAATTGAATTAAAATTATCCGTTTTATTTAAAATCCTACTCGTATGTACCAAGAATCCAAAATATATTCTATATTTTCTTCGTATTAAAATAAATTTCATGATTTAACTTTATAGAGTTGAACATCATACGGTAATCTGTGTCATACGGATATTATATTTTAAAGATATGTTTTTAGTTTAATGATTTTTATATTGAAAGGAAGGAAAATAATCCACTTCAAATCTTCAAAGATCACAAAGTCAACTAAAACCCACCATCTTCACCAATAATTTTCAAACAAAAGGAAACTTAAGTCGAACACGTTGTGTATTCCTATCTCTATTTAAAATTTAATTTCACATTAATGCTTCCTAGTAATTTTCAAAAAAAAAAGAGAGAAAGAAGAAGAAGAAGAGCAGAGATGGAGAATGTTTGGGAATAACGTTATGGTTTAACATTAACGTTTGAAAAGAAGTATTAGAGTTTTTCAAATTTAATATGCACCGTTAAATTTTTATCTAAAACACTAATGCTAATCGAAAACGTTGTTCTTGTTGAAATATTGGAATAATAATATTGCTCATTGAATTATGAAGTACATGATAGAGTATATATAAGAGAGACTCCTAACCCAACTAGGAATAAAGAATGGAAACTAACTAACATACAACATCTACCACAAATAAGATTAGGAAGCTAACTAATAATGAAACACTACCATAACCAATACTACATGAAGTACTATTAGTATTATTGTCTAACATCCCCCCTCAAGCTGAACTCTGGCTGAAGCAAGAGGAAGCTTGGACACTAGCTGGAAATTGAAAACTTTGAGAAGAGAGAAGTCTGACATGCGTCGGTGCCTGCTCACATCGTTGGAGAAGAGAGAACTGTGACGCGCGCCGGTGGCTGCTGACGTCATTGGAGAAAAGAGAAATTTGACGCGCGCCGGTGGCTGCTGACGTCGTTGGAGAAGAGAGAAACCTGACGTGCACTGGTAGCTGCTAACGTCGTTTGAGAAGAGAGAAATTGACGTGCGCTAGTAGCTGCTGACGTCGATGAAGAAGAGAGAAGGTTGACGTGCGCTTGTAGCTGCTGACGTCGAAGAAGAATAGAGAAAGCTACTGGAGGTGCCTGTTTGACTAAAGATCCTTGACATTTTGTCTTTTTCTTGGATCCGGGCAATGCCCTATTTCCTTCTTGAAGGGGTGAGTTGTAGAGGTCTTATTTCTTCTTTCACTACTTCCCCTCTCTGCTTTGCTTTTGTGCTGATTTACTTTGGATTTTTTATGATTTGTTGTGCAGAATTCGAGAATAAGAGAAGATATATAAACGAGAAAGCACGACAACAGATTTAACGTGGTTCACCAACGTTGTGTTGGCTAGTCCACGGGGAAGAGGGGGGAGCAGTTTTATTTCTGATTGGAGAGGCAAGAACAGAGTACAACAACTAGGGTTTGTGGTAGCACCCATATAAATAGTGCTTGGTGAAACCCTAACAGACTTAGGCCCAAAAATACAGAATTAACAGATAATTAAACAAGCCCAAATAGAATGGGGTTCGGACACCTCAGAATTCGGACCTCTCAGAATTCGGATTTCTTGACTTCTCCGGAAATCAGATTTCTCGACTTCTCCGGAATTCGGATTTCTCGACTTCTCCGGAATTCGGATTTCTCAAAAGTTGGACTTCTCCGGATGTTGTAACGAGTCAGATTCAAGGCATTACAACAAATCTCCACCTTGACTTGAATTCTCCATACAGATCCTTCAGATTCAGACGCACTTTGATTGTGCCAGGCCTCCCCCTCTTCCTCAGAATTGCCCCGCAGGGCTACTAAAAACTTCTGATGTTAAGCAAGTCCAAACAGTGTTGAAACTTGCTTTGCGGAACCGGCTTTGTGAACATATCAGCAGGATTATCAGCAGTTCCTACTTTCTTCACTCGGATTCTCCTCTCACTCCTTAAGAAATGATATCTCACGTCAATATGCTTGGTTCTCTCATGATGAACTTGATCCTTGGCTAAACAAATCGCACTCAAACTGTCACAGTACACTGTAGCCTTATCATGATGCAGACCAAGATCACTAACCAACCCTTTTAACCAAATTCCCTCCTTCGCAGCTTCTGTCAAGGCCATGTACTCTGCTTCCGTAGTTGACAAAGTCACTGTAGGTTGCAAAGTTGNAAGAGTAAACACATAGCCAGTCATCGATCTTCTTGTGTCAACATCTCCAGCATAATCAGAATCAGAATATCCTGTAACCAAACACTGAGTATCACCTCCATAAATGAGACCAACGTCAGATGTACCTCTAAGGTACCGGAAAATCCTCTTCACAGCCTGCCAGTGTTCTCTCCCTGGTTGTCCCATGAATCTGCTAACTACACTTACTGCATGAGCTAAGTCTGGCCTTGTACAGACCATAGCATACATCAAACTTCCTACGGCACTAGCATAAGGGACTCGTGACATATACTCCTTCTCTTCTTCTGACTGTGGAGCGAACATGGCAGTGAGATGAATATTGGCAGCACTGGGGGTGTCAATAGGCTTAGATGAAGACATGCCAAACCTCGTCAAAACCTTCTGAATGTAGCCTCTTTGTGACAAGAAAAGTTTCCTTCTCTCTCTGTCTCTAATGATCTCCATTCCTAAAATCTTCCGAGCGGCTCCCAAATCCTTCATCTCAAACTCAGCACTAAGTAAACCCTTCAGCTTCTGAACGTCATACTTCTGCTTTGCAGCTATCAACATGTCATCTACATAAAGACCAGGTAGATGAATGAATCATCCTTGAGCCTATTGTAGTAGACACAACAATCATATGGGCTCCGAGTGTAGCCCAACTTCACCATATAGCTGTCAAATCTTTTGTACCACTGCCTTGGGGACTGCTTAAGTCCGTATAAAGACTTCTTCAACTTGCAAACGTGACTTTCCTTCCCTGGAACTTGGAAACCATCCGGCTGAGTCATGTATATCTCTTCTTCTAACTCTCCATGTAGGAAAGCTGTCTTCACATCAAGTTGCTCGAACTCCAGGTTCTGATGTGCAACTATTGCTAGTAACACGCGGATGGAAGTATGTCTAACCACAGGTGAGAAAATCTCATTGTAGTCCACTCCCTCTCTTTGATTGAAGCCTCTCGCAACGACCCTGGCTTTATACTTGACCCCTTCTGCTGGTGATATTCCTTCCTTCCTTTTGAAAACTCATTTGCAAGTAATGATCTCTCTCCCCGGAGGCTGTATGACTTCTCCGGAATTCGGATTTCTCAGAAGTTGGACTTCTCCGGATGTTGTAACGAGTCAGATTCAAGGCATTACAACATGATTCAACAGAAGAGAAAGAGAAGGAAGGTTGATGATTAGAATGAGTGATTTTAGAGAGAAAAAGTAGGTTAAAAATTGGTGATGGAAAAAAAAATTTGGGTCTGAAATTTTGATATGGTGAATTGGATAGAAACAACAATTATTTTTTTTCCTTTTGTTTTTGAGAAGATATGATGATCTGAGAGGGTTTGTGAGGAGTTGGTTTTTTTTTTTGAAGAACCATGGAGATGACAAGAGAGAAGTTCCTCCTTTGATAGTTTTTTTTGTGTGATTTCAATAGGGGTTCTTTTTTTCTTTATTTTTCATTTGAATGGAGAAGATTTGAGGATAAAGACTCATGGCAGAGGAAAACCAATATATAGGAAAATTTCCATAAATATGAGTAAAAATCTTATAAAAGACATATATAGGACAGGGTATGTCTAAGTATTTACTTTCGTAGCCATGGGCCTTAACTCTTCTACCTAATTTGCCCCTCCTAATTTGGCAGTGTGGCAGCGGAGTTGGTAGTGTGGTGGTAGAGTTGGCAGTGTGGCATTGGTGGTTGTGGTGGTAGGGTAGGGAAGGTGGTGGTGGCAGAGTTTGACAATGTGACAGAGGAGTTGGCAGTGTGGTTGTGGTGGTGGGGTGACAGTGTGGCGGTGATGTTGGTGGGAGTGTGGTGGTGGAGTTTGGCAATGTGGCAGCGGAGTTGACAACTGGTGGTGGAGTTTGATAGTGGTGATGGAATTCGCAGTGTGGCGGCGATGGTGGTGGTGGAGATGTGGTGACGATGGTTGTGGCACTCAGAGGCAGTGTGGTGGTGGAGCTTGGCAATGTGGCAATGTGGCGGTGGTGGTAGCAGTGTAGTGGCAAAGTTTGGCAGTGCGGCGACGGAGTTGGCAGTGTGGCGGGCGGAGTTGATCGTGTGACAATGGTGGAGAAGTTATTATTATCTCCATGGGCAAATTGGGATGTGTGCACAAATATAGTCATAGGTAAATGTACCCTCTTTTAGTCCTATATACATTTTCTTCCAAATATATGTAGAAGTGTAATTTTTTTTATTTTTACACAAAAAAGGGTCTTTGATAGGTCAAATTTCATAATTTACATGCTCTGTATTTTGAAATGGAGATATGATGTTTCAAAATTTTAGAAAACGTACACAAAATAATTTCATATTTGGTTTTTTTGTAAATATGGTCATTTTGTAAAGCAGAGCAGTTGTTTGGTACATCTAAAGTCTACAAATATTTTCTATATTTGCTGACATATAAAAGTGGAGTTAGAGCTTATTCTCTTCAACTTATTTTTATTCTTTTTTCTTATTGAAATCAGTTCAGATCAAATCAGATTAGAAACAACTTTAAATATTTCTACATTTAGATCAGATCAAAACTTATTTCAATCAGACCAGAATGATTCAAATCGAGTGAAGACAACAAGCCCTAATTGGGATGTAGTTTGTGCAATGACTTAAGAAGGTAAGTTCAAAATTTGCCAAAATATGGTTATTTTCATTGGTGTCAATTAGATGTGATGAATCCTATAGGATGACGCCATATGCAAATTATACTCGTATATAGTTAACATTATACATTCAAATGTACTCCGTATATATTTTTATGATATTTTAATAAATATTTTTGAGTAAAATGATCATTATTGTTGTGAATAATGTTCGTTTCATTCATTTTTAATGTGGTTAAATTTTTTTGTTCTATTCGTTGTTTCTTGTAAAGGATGCACATTTTGTTGTATGAGTTATGAATTGTTAATATTGGGATTAGAGAATTCTTAGTTTCAAATATTGGATGTATATTGCTCGAGATAAATTTGAACGTATAAGTAACCATTTGGTAAGAAATTGAAGAATTGTAAGGTGTAGTTTTAATACAAATTCAAGAATATGATAATGTTCTTGGGATTTTTTTAACAAGTCATCTGCCACGTGTCACAGAATTTCGACATGTGGCAGGTCTACTTGGGATTTTTTTAACAAGTCATCTGCCACGTATTTAAAAACCAGATCAGACCAAACTTGCCGATTTGGACCGTGAACCGATCGAACCAATAAGAACCGGTCGGTCGAACCAGTTGCCGAGGTGTTTTTTCTTGCATTTTTTTCCAAAACATGCCTTTGTGGGGATTTGAACCCAAAACCCCATAGACATTTGGTTGAATTTCTAGCCATTCAAGCAAGGGTGATTTTTGTTACAAGTTCACATAATCTTTTATAATATTTCATAATTAAAAAAAGATTGTATAAAAATTCCTTTTCAATTTTAAAAATATAATCCTTTATATATAAAAAATGAGAGTGATTTTTGTGAGGCTTTTTTTAAATAAATTTTATATTTTTTTTATGATACATCTAAATAAATGAAGTTAGTTTGATAATATTTATTTAAATATTAACACCTAATAAATAAAATATTTCGCCACCTATAAAAATAATTGCATTTGTTTTGACACCTAATATTCCACCTAATTTAGGATGCATAAAATGTGAAATTATCGTTATGGTAAGAAATCTTTGAATAAATTTAATTATGTAATAGGAAAATTCATTTTTTATAATAGTATTCTTTCCCAATTATTTTTTTACTCTTCATTTATAATTACACTTTTAATTAATTATAAAACTACATTAAAGCATATTTTCATAAAATTTACTTTAAATAAAATTTAAAAACAATAGAAGATTGAACTATAATTGTGTTAAATTAGAAAAATATATTATACAAAAATTTCGCTATAATTTTTTGGAAAAAAATACTCTGTACCTGAATAGGAATAAACATGGAGAAAATACCAAAATAAAATTGCAAATTTTTTATATCTCCAAAATAGGAGCTACCAAACATTAAAAGATTCCTTAGTTTCAAAAGGAAGGTTTTGGTAATGCATTTCTATCGAAAGACAATGTTTGTTTTATATATCGAGGTTAAAGTATACTTCGTACAAAATTGACAAGAAAATCAATTGAGAAGATCAAATCCAAATACACATGGAGTATTATTGAAGAAATTAGAACATACATGAAATTTTATGCAATTGAGTGAAAACTAAAAGTCATTTTTTAATAAAAATTTTTATAAAATCAACTTCTAAAATAATTAAAATAATCTTATATTGTAACTTATGATTTACTCATTACATACTTATATTGTGTTACAATTCAAAATGTTTATACATAAAATTAAGAAATTTTGAATAAGAGAGAAAACTTCATAGGGTGATATTTAATGAGACGACACAGATTTATGCATAGAAGATTGTGACAAAGAAGATCAAGGTGTGGAAGGGAGCGTGAGAAGATTTGTGACAATGAAAATTTAGGATAATAAAAAACTAAGAACAATTGTGCAGAAAAATCTAAGGTGCAATAGCTAATAAGTTCGAGACTCAGTTACGGGTTACAACCACATCAAAGAAAAATATAATTTCCAATTTGTAACTATTTATATTTTCATAGAACATTTTATATCTTAACCATAATACTATCCCGACAAAATTATTGAAGCACTAACATTTTAATGTTTTTTAAAATCAATATGGGGGAGAAGAAGAATTGATTCTTAATATTTTAAAATTAAAATTTATAATCATAGAGATTTAGGATCACTAATTTAAGACTTTGTTTTTTAATAATGCAAGAAAGAATAATATTTTTTATAATCATTGCGGGGAAGGGGTAGTTGGGATTATGGATGAAAAGAATCTTTTTTTTAATTACTACCTCCGTCCCTGAGTATTTGTTCAGTTTTGACTTTTTCCGATTAACTGTTTTTAACATTTGACTTATAATTAAATAAAATATATATTATATATTGAGTGCATAAAATAATATTTTGAAAATGAATAATATAATAAATCAAATAAAACTAATTTTGTAACAATATCTAATATCATTATATTATTACCAATTTTGATAAAAAAAAGTCAAAAGTGGATAAATACTCAGGGACGGAGGGAGTATATAATTATAATTTCGGTAGTTTATGTTTTTTAAATTAATGTGAGGAAAAAGAATCATTGGATCACTATTACTCTTTGTATTAATATATTTTTGAATTTATACAGGGAGAAAATATTTAGATTTGTAGAAATACATCAAACCTAGATCATTTATATTTGACCATTGAATAGTATTCAAAACAAAAATCAAGATCCATATTGTAAAATCGGAAAATTTTTTTGTCTGAACCCCGTGCATGACACGGGTAGAAATACTAGTTACATATTCAATTATGAGACGGTTGATTCTTGTTAGATGAACCAGAAAACTTTCAATAACATTCTTTATTTTGATTTTGTGCTCAAATCATAGGAATTTTGATCATCACTGTAATACGGAGTAAATATGAGATTGCATATTACTCCTTCCGTCCCACTTTTTTTGTCTACTTTTATTTTTGCACACCATCCAATGCACTTCTTTAATCCATTTTATCTTGTAATTTGTATATAAAAAAATTATAAAAATTATATATTAATAATCTATATGTTAAGACAAATCAAACAAGATCACACATGACTATTTTTAGACTTACACATTGAGAGAATTTGATGAGTCAAAGTGCTTAGATGAACAGTTCCAAAAGTCAAAACTGGACAAAAAGAGTGAGACGGGGTAGTAATAATAAAATAATGTAATTAGTTTTGTCTCTAGACAAATATTTCATATTATTATTATGCAATACATCATTGATTAACTGATAATCAAAATTCATTTGACTAAAAAAAGTAATTTTCCATAGACTTAAATACAGAATGCATTTCTAAATAATGTTCATAGTTGAGTTTATAAAAATAAAACCCCCTTAAAGGGTAATTTACCATAAAACAAATATGACAAAAAGCTTTTCAAAAAGCTAACGCAAAGTAAATTTTGGATTTAAATTTGAGATTGTTAAGACTTTGAATTTGAATTAAAATTTGAGATTGTTTCCATTATCTCCAATGAAGTCAAATACTCCGTATTTACTTTTCCTTGTGAGGTATGGATGAAATAAAACAAAATGATTCTTTGAATTGTCTACCCTTCGTTTATAGTGAAGTAACAACCAATCTATCTAACTCTTGACACTCATCATGCATCAATCGAAAGCAATCTCAATGTTTCAAGCAAAAAGTCAGGCTCTGTATATCCGACCCCTCCCCCTACCCCACAATGGGTAGGAGCCTTTGAATGAAGTAAATTCATCTACAAAAAAAAAAAAGAATATTTACTACTAGTATAAAAAAAAGGATTGTGCTTATGGACATCATTTTTATTCGCAATAGATGGTTTTGAACCAATGTCCTAAGCGTACATGAAATGTAGAGTACTGTTTTACATTTTTACATGGTACAAGACTGTACAACTTTTGATACAGTCCAAAACCTAGAAGGATTTTACAAATTACATTACAAGCCAATTGCTAATTCAGCATACATTATTTTTCCTATGGTACATTCCTATGGTACATTGAAGGAGCACATATATACTCTCCTTGGTGTCACATACAAAAACTTTCCCAAGACACAGAGATCAGGAAAATAAAATCTTTCGTGGGTTGGGTAAAGATTTGGTTGAGTTGGTCTTTGCTCTACTCTACACTCTCAAGTGTAAGATTTTCTGCAACATGGACGGGGAAACAACCACGGCTTTGCCATTACTATTATTATTCTTTGCCTGAAGCTCGGCATGAAGCCGACACAGAGCAGATCCTGCCACTTTCCAGGCAAAACTGCATCTTCTAACATCTGACACGGATATGGCGTGATCATATGTTACATGATACACAGCAAGAGCATTGTCATATATCTCTCTCATGCTCATCTCGCTCTCTTCCAGCTCATCTGCGCCGTATAACAACTGCATCGTTTGACCAAAGATGGTTTACGCCGAGACAAGAATGAAGTGAGTCATTCAAAGATCTAAAAGAAAAGAGTGAAGTCCGTAAATGGTTCCTACTAATAGTTGGTTTTCAAAATTCAGTCCCAACTTCTTTGGCTCAATGCAGGGTCAAAAAGGTAATTTCACACCCCTTTCTCTCAATTAAACCCCTCCCCCATTCTCAAAACCCTAAGCCCAGTCTTCATCGCACAACCCAAAAGTTATAGTCTCTGTCTTCTTTGTACAAGACAATCTAAATGTAGCACCCCTACCATGAAAAGAGAAGTGTATATGACAATGGGAGAGGGGTTTAATTGATAGATGGGAGTGGAAAATTACCTTTTTAACCTTGTATTTAATAGGTAAATAACAGTATGAGTGAAGGAGGTCTGGCTGTGGGAAGGATCCAAAGAAATGGAGACTACGTTTGTAATATTTGATAAGTAGAGACTAAATATGGAAAATCATCTATTACTAGGGGTCATTTATGGAATTTAATCAAAAGGAAAACTTAAGAAATAAAACTCACTTGCTTGTATTTCTTGACGACTTCATTTGCCAAGTCATTCTTCGACTCACCACTTGAGCTCAGAGCCTCCGCCATGTCAGCTCTGTACTCATTGTACCTTTTCCTCCATAGTCTCAAGCATTCATCGGGTACTTTGATGTCAAAGCAAGGCAATTTCTCAATTTCTAAACACAAAATTAAAACAAACTGCATTAGTACTTCCCTCTCCGTTAAAGCAATCACGATTTGATCTCTTATTTAGATGCTTACTTACCAACAGCTGGTGGAGCTTTGGTTTCGTATGCCACAACAGTGTCATAGATTTCTCCTAAGACAGAGGTTGAGTGATACGAATTGCGTTCTTTAGCCATGAAATGTGGTAACTTATCCACCTTCAAATCATTGGGAATATTGACCTGTATTAAAAAATTGCAGAGTCAATATAGAACAGCCCATCACTAACTTGATAGAGGTAATGCTTGGGACTTGACCTTTCTGCATGTCTCAAAACAAGTCATAACACATACGGAGTATTAGATTTACAGATTTTTCAATTCCTTCTGATAATTTCACACAAATAACCCATTCTTCTCAGCTTTTAACTTCAATTATCCATATTCCAAACTCCAACTTCCAGACTCCAGAGTTTATTTGAAAGAAAAATTGCATTCAGACTCGAGACTCTAAATTTTAGTTAAAATAAAAAAAATGCAACCAGACTTCAATATTCAAACTCTAGCTTTGAGACCTCAGACTCCAGTTTCCAGTCTTTGAGCTCGAGTATTCACACTACCTAAAATCAAGGAAAAAGGAACATGCCCTATGACTGGTCGATTGGAGGTAAAAAGGTTGTGGAAGGGAAAAAAATGTTCACGTACACAAGACTGATCGATAGGGGAATAATGTTTTGAGTTTTGACAACAAAAAAAAATTGTACTAGAGGAAAATGACATTTTCCACAAGTTCGTAGAAGCTTGAGGAAAATTTTCCAAATGCAAACACAAGAAAATCCAGAAAATATAAAATATAATCCGGGACTCAAACTGAGCTTAATCTGGTAACTGACCTTTTTACCACTTTTTGGTGCATCTAAAGCATCGTAATAAAGATCTATTAAACGCAACATTTTTTCCATTATGGCTTCCTTTTCTGTAGCATAGCTATCTCCAATTACCAGAAGTTTGTCCATATGAGCCATCCAGCTGTCAGAAGCGGCAGCCATACTATAGCTGAGACAAAGCAAAGTGATATTGTTATAAACAAGACAAAACTATAGCTCTAAAGGCTTCACTTCAAACAGGCTAATGGCAACTCCTATCACATTGACAGTATAAGATGCAAGCATAGAATTCTTCTCGTTTAGTGAATGTGTGTTTTCTCTCTCATGATGTTTAACTAAGTCCATACAAATACTCCCTCCTCCACCAGTGTATTGTCCCGTTTGACTTTTTCAGACAAACTGGACGAACTTAGATCATCAAATAATAAAAATTACATTACATATTAGTACAATATAATGATTTTTTGAAGTATTTCCCAATATAAATTTAATGAAATCATTCATGTACTAATATGTAATACAATTTTTATTTAATTGATATAAGTCGAGCTTAACTACAAAAAATCAAACTTAGACGAATATATTGGGATGGAGGTAGTAATTGACTCTGCCCGGCCATAGTTCAAATGATGAATTGATGATAATGACGATGAAGATGATGGAATAATATGAAGCCCAGGTAAGCTTCTTATATAATCTGGTCACATGCAAGTCATCGCATCTAAGTAAAAAATGACACTTGTGTTTCAACAACAAAACTACACTGCATCTTCCATATTCTAAAACTAGAACAGCTAGTTTGTTTTGTGGACATTGGCATATAATTCAAGAACATCACATCTAAGTAAAAAATGACACTTGTGTTTTAACAACAAAACTACACTGCATCTTCCATTTTCTAAAACTAGAACAGCTAGTTTGTTTTGTGGACATTAGCATACAATTCAAGAAATGATTGAACAAATTCAAGAAAGGTAATTGAAGTTCACATCTTGAATGATTCCAGAGAGCAGGACAAATGCATTCGAGGCTTTATTCTGAAGCTACATGATCAAACAAGAGAGCTACAGACATTTATGAATTTCCATAATACACTGCCTTAAAATTTATTAAGATAATAGAAAAACCATTACCTTGGCATTTTGGTTTCTAGAAACATTTGAAAGAGTTCGTGCTCCAATTCCTTAGAAGAAAACTCGTTGGGCTTTCTACTAACAGGTTTGGGAGTTGAATGCATACGTTGCCAAGGGCTACTTGGCCTGAATTTTTCAATTAACTGAGTAGTGAAAACATTCAAATCTAAAAGTCAGACTAAATCTCCATATTATCAACACCATTATAACTCTGGAAAAATAAAGAATCTGTTCTTGAAGCTAAAGCAGTACAAGTATGAACATCTCTTATCGTGCAGATTCCTACACCAGATTTTAAGCTAGACGTAGTAATATTTTTTGGACTAGAATTTGAGAAAATGATCACTCCATTTGAAGGCCGATGCATGGAAGAACAACTTTTAACTACACAGTTGGAAATATGAATGACCTTGCAAAGGGGCTACTCGGACCCTAATATATTTTTTAGTTGAGTTGCTAGAACAATACTGGCTTAGCCAAACCTCATTGACAAATATCCAATTTCAATGCAGAGAATTAGAAATATAAGAACAACCAATTGTTGCTTCAAGCAGCAATGAAAAACTAAAACTAAACAGAAATTGGTATACCTCACGGTTCCTAGAAACCCAATATACATCTCCGTCAAAATCACCATTAGCAATTTCACTGGCAACCGATCTATGGCCTTTTGTAGAGAAGAATATGCCATACTTTGCATTTCCCACTACCTCATCAATTTCCTTCACATGAACAGCATTTAATTTGTGGATGTCCCCAAAATGAAGCCCTGGATTTCTATAGACTAAGACTTCCCCAACAATTTGGCCATAATCACTGCATGAAACATTAGAATGGGCATTTGTAATTAAAAGTATAGTGATATGCCATAGTTCCATAAAATTACTTTAAGGTACCCTCGATTTTCTGTTAAGAACTCTCAAGTCCCACATTATTTAAACAATACGCGGTACCATCATTTTTTTTGGTAAGAACTTTTAGGTCCCACAAAATCTGAAATAAACTCTGGGGTCCTTAAAATTTGTGGTAATGTACTCCGAGGGTACATTATGTCTATTTATTCATTAGGATTGCTTCAGATCCATTCTAAAACCAAACTAAGCTGAACTAAAACTTTTACCAATAGGTGAGACCAGCTACATAAATCATAGTTACTAGTTCATGGCTTCATGACAAGGATCCCATTAAATTACCTTGGTCTAAGTGGGCAAAGGTCACCCTCTACTCTCTTATTTTATCCTCACTTGAGGCTACCGATAATTTCTCTTTTATCATCGCATTCTTAATTTAGTGCTTCATGCTTCCTAGTTTCACTACACATCAATATCAACAATCTCTTCTCTAACACTTATGTTTCTAGACAATATTGTGACTCCATGGCTCAACACTATGAGCCATACGACATAGAAGGCAAAATAGATAAGCTACAGAACTTTAGTTTTAGCTTAGGGCACTCTATATACAGTTAATTCACAAACAACCTTTTCACTGCACGCATGGAATCTCATTGTCAATATTTAAGTCATTAAGCAAATTAATGGATTTACTTACAGAATAACGCATACTTCATCACGATTTAATGTCTCTGTGGGATCAGCAGTCCCTATCAAATAAAAGCTATCAGAAATTGGAAGCTTTCCCCCCTTAAGTCCAACCTTTTCTTCCCTAGTCACCATAGATAGGCACCATTGAAGATGTGGCTCATAAAGTGGCACCCCCGACAAAATCATACTTTTTGCAATGGAACCATAATCAAGATCTTCGAGGTTTGAAGCAGCTACATGAAAATGAAGAGATGAAAAACAATTTTGAGATTTTTTTGTTTACGTATGACTGATGACTAACAAAAGAGAACTGAAAACAGTAATAAATGGATCACAACAAGCTTCACATCGGGGGAGAGAGGTAAATGAAATTCATAAAGCAAACTATTATCTTCATTTGTCATATGAACATGCTTGTTTTTACAAGTTATTTCATGATATTAATAAAATGAATTTTTTCATAAATTACTTCCTCCGTCCTCAAAAAAGGTTCCACTTACGGTTTACAATGTTTGACTTACGTTATTTTAATTCAATACATTTCAAAATTGGTGTAGAATTAAAAATAAAATGTATATACTTAAAATTGGCTTCAAAATTTTAATTTATAAATTTATCAAGGAAACTATGTCAAAATATTACTCTGGGGGACCTCATGTTTTCTGCTAAAAGCTCATAGGTCCCACGCCGAAATATACTCCAGAAGTGAACATTCTGTTACTCTGACCAATCAGCCACTTGTAATTCCTACTTTACCCAAACTTATTCTACAAAAATTTGATCAAGGGTACCTCACATTTTCTGCTAAGAACTCACAGGTTCCCATGCCAAACAAAGAGTTTGCGCAGAGAGAACAAGGTTTTGGCAGGTCTGGTGGCAATGTGGCATTAAATTTTACATTAAATAATAATTATTTTTATTGTATTTTTATAAAATATTTTGTTTGCTATCTTGCTTCCTAATATAACTATATAAGTATTAGACTTTACATTGAATAATCATTACTTTACTACTTTGTATGTTTTAATAAAATCTTTTGCTTTCAGGCCTTTCACTTTCTAAATAAATAATCATTATCTTAATTGTTAAAAAAAATCATTATCTTAGTTATATTTTCATCCCCGTAACACATGTTTTAAATAAAATTTATTTCACTACTTTAAATATTTAGATTCTATATTTTTAAACAAATATAGTGAAGTAGCACTTGGTGTTTAGTCAATGCAACTTTTATAGTGAAGTAGCACTTAGTCAATGCAACTTTCAACATTGACTATAAATCACCTGGAAACAACTGCTCTATGTTTTGAACATAGGGGCCAAACTGTGTATATTCGAACTCCCTTACCCTGCAATGTGCGGGAGCCTTTGAGGAACTTTGATAATGTTGCTGGCCTTATTGTTAAACAAATAAAGTATATAAATATTTAAGCCTGTGATTTCATTTCTCCGTTTTGACCATATCATTTACAAAATTCTCTCTAATCTTTTGTGAACATCTCTAAATGATTCATCTCTCATTTAGTCTGTTTCTTTGTGCGGTGCTTATTGGCTTATTGTTGATAAGTAGCTTATAACTTATAAGCTATTTATTGAAGTATTTGTTGTAACTTATTCATTTGAATTTTCATATTTATTATACATATTGACTAAATTCATTATGTTTTATTAAATTATTTGAATTTTCAAATTCATTATAAATATTTTGTACTCCCTCCGTCCCAGAGTATTTGTCCACTTTCATTTTTACACATCATCCAATACACTTCTTTAATCCATTTTATCTTGTAATTTGTATATTAAAAAATTATAGAAATTATATATTAATAATCTATATGTTAAGACAAATCAAACAAGATCACACATGACTATATTTAGGCTTACACATTGAGAGAATTTGATGAGTCAAAGTGCTTAGATGAACAGTTCCAAAAGTCAAAAGTGGACGAATATAGCGGGACGGAGGTAGTAAAAGACTAATATTGCATTCCGTTCAAATTAATTTATCAATTTATTACTTTTTCTAATTAAAATCAGATCAAAAACAGCTTTAAATATAATACAATCAAATCATATCAGACCAGATCAGGAGAACGAAACGCAACCTTAACACATTATGTTTTTATTAAATTATTTTTTTTAAAATAAAATGTTCGGAGTCTTTAGGATACTATAACACCACATGTGTCCCACACGACATGTCTTGTGTCATGTACAGACATTAAATTTTACGTTAAATAATTATTAGATTTTCAAAAACCTTTTTGCTCTCTAACATAAATATCAAAATTTCACAATGTGTATTATATTTTCATCATTGTAAACTTTTTTAAGGGAAAAATAGTTTATTATTTAAAAAATTATTTAAACTTTTTTTAAAATAAAATTATATTTTTAATCAGAAAAGCTTATGTAAAAGTGGACTATATTTTACGTAATGTAAGACTTTGCTAGTTTTAAAAAAAGATGTGAGGTACCCTAGAGTAATTTTTTGAATAAGCATGGATAAATAATAAATTAGGACTGATCAAAGTAATAGAATGTTCACTCCTAACAAGGTCGAATGCACAGAATGTAGCCTAGTAGTACACAGAAATTTTATGCACCCCTAATGTATATTTCAGATAATGTGGTTCCTACAAGTTCTTAAGAAAAAATGTACCCTAGAGTAATTTTTTAAAATACGTAATGTGAATAGTAAAGTGGATGTTTTTGGGGCAAAGGAATAAAGTGTCACTATTTTGATCATTTTTATCAATTAGTGTGCCATTTGCTGCTTGATATAATGATATGCATCCTAGGTGGTAGACTGGTAGTCCATAAAATTAGTACTTCCTCTGTCCCACAAAAAAATTCTTCATTCCTTTTTCCGTCGTTCCCAAAAACTTCATTTTCCTTTTAAGGAAAAGAATATTTGACTTAGAAAACTTCTCTCCTCGTGACAAATTCTAACCACACTCTTTTCATTTTTCCCATACTTTTTGACAAATACTCATTTCCATGCTTAATAGGTTGACATAATCTTTTCATCAGCATAATAGGAAAATATCTAAGAAGTTGGAATTCCCATTAACCTTTCAAAGCTAATATCTCATCACAGTATATGTTCCGGGCCTCTTCCAAAGCATTCTTCAGTATCTCCAAAAAAAAATCACTCGGAACTCCTCCATAGCACAAGAGAGCAATCAAAGTTTTTGAGAGGTGAGCTCTTTTGGGTTTATGGCTGCCAAAAAAACAGTAAGTGCTTTCTCAGATTCAAGGAAAAAGTTTGTTCTCATGCCAGAGCAATCAGAAAATATTTGCAGAAAGTGTAATGAGCACAATTCATTAAGAAGTTCAGTGCACAATGAAATTGGCAAGATTTATGAGGAGGTCAAGTCATTCTAGGGAGAGCATATCCAATGATTTTTTTATTTTTTTGGTGGGGAAATATTCTCAATTCTTTACAATAGTGCATTACACTGTATATACTCCCTCTGTCCCAAGAAAGAGTCCACAATTGACCGTAGTACTATACATTGAGATTAAGAAATGTGAACTAGTGTGGTTAAAATTTTTGTAGTGGTGAGAAATAATATTAGCACCACGCTATATTCTTTAAAAGGAAAGTGGACCCTTACTTGGATAAACAAAAAAGGAAATTGGGAATGTTTTCTGGGGCCGAATAGTATCATATTTTTTAACTACACGGTATAGCTATTGTAATTGTGTGTGGGAACATAAAAGTAAATTAGTTTTTCTTGTAATATTTGATTTGAGCAGTTCAATTATGGTGATTTTATGGTGCTGGACTACTACATAACTAAGTATTCCCCAGTCTCACTAAGAAGTTTACAGTTTGACTTCATGGAGTATAAGAAAAGTGTTGAAAATTCAAGTGTCTTGTTGCAATTTGTTTAGAAAAGTGAGAAATATTATGACCGCATCTTTTCCTTCAAAGGAGAAAAGGGTCTGAAGTTTATTTTGAGATGGCTAGAAAAAAAAGTGTGGATTTGATTGTAAAACAGAGGGAGTACAAACATAGATTCTTGGTGTGAAAACTGATCGTAGTTTTGTAGTCTATACATTGTTGAATATGAATCATGTTTTTTTATTGCTTTGTGAAGTCAGCACTAATTCTTATGCGTTGCAACTGTTAAAGTCAAACATTTTACAATATGCAATATAATGGAACATATTTAGACACTAATTAGAATAAGTTGGAGTAATAATAAAATGAATGGAAGTATTTTTTTACTGGTTTTATGCAGGAGCATAGAAGATTTTTTTGAATGTGCATATTAATATTTATGCTTCAAGTCTTATTTAGCAGTTCATATTAACATTTTATGTAAAAGTTCTGAATGGTCCAATTAGGCCGGTTACCTCCTGTTCGGGGTATCCATTAGTAAGATAAAGAGCTTATAAATGAGAGCTGAAAAAACTTTTCCTTTCATCTCAGTATGAACAATCCATTTGTATAATCAGTTGTTCCAAACTAAAGCCATGAAGTTTATACTTGAGAGCTGAAAAGCTTTTCTCTAAGAAGTAAGAAGTTTGTCAAGGTTTTGCTAGCATTATTAAACTTAGCCAAAGTACCCTTTTTATTAACTTCTTCTTTAAGAGAATCACAAGATGAACAAGAATCTTTGGGTTTATCGGCACTATGTTTAAAAAATAATTTTCTTCTAGTAGCTAGGCACTTCATTTCCTAAACTACTAAAATTAAGCCAAATGTACCTGACAGCTACTATCTCAAGAGAGTTGAATGTTTGGGTGCGAAAAATTTCTGGATCTGCACCAACCTTGACCATAGACGGTCTAACATGAATTGACCTATCTGTGAGCTAATGTATTTAAAGGAGCAGCAAAATAAAAAGGTCAGGAAAGCACTATCATATGCTATAATGAAATCATTAATAAATACAGAAAATTCAAGGATGTGAAAATTTGAATGTGAAGAGACAAACCAACCATCTCCAGAGTAGACTTATAATGAAAATTATACTCCATATAAAATAATATAAATAACCTAAATAATCCCACTTGAGAAAATTAAATGAAGTATTTTTTACAGTTGTATATTACTTGCAATTTGAATGCATTCTGGCCAAAGAAATGGGGACATATGTCATATGATGCTACCGAGAGAATTGGGAAGACTGTAGACCTAAGCATTTACCCGTCTATCAACAAGAAGTGTTCCCTTAACTGCACGTCCGTCGTAGTAGAGACGACATTGCATTAACAAAGGCTAGAAAGAAAATCATAAAAAATGTGAGGTTCAGAAGTATGTGACATTCTGACATACATGTAGTGCATTTATAATGGTTAGAATAATTATCTACCATTAACCATCAAATGATTACCGGTTCCATGTTCTGAAATTCCGTGTCTTGGAAACCATTGATGGTTTTCTGAAAAATCAATAAAAACACATAAATTATGAAAGATAAATATGAACAATTCATTCACTTAAACCGCTGTAAGAAAATTGAGCAATAAGGAAAAGCACAAATAAGAAGACATAAAAATTAAAAGCTCTTCCTTGCGTGAGAATACCTTAGAACTGGTCCCCTTCAAATGTTTTACACTGTAAAAGTTACTGGGGCATTTTTTTGCTAGATCTTCTGATATATAACCAGTTCCATCAGTTTGAATGAGAGGTGCCCCATCTTCATCGTAGATAATGGATCCGAACTTATCCTACAGGTTGTACTTACGATAGAATCATATTTATAAAGTGCATAATCTTGAGATGTGAAATTGTAAGAGATATAAAAAAGGGAAGAGCATATGAATATACACGGCAATATGTATCCTCAATTTCATATATTTTAACATCCCCTAGAGGTCCTAGATCAATAGGGTATTTGACAGTCTTCGACAGTATAAGAGAAAATCTGCATTATAAACAAAGTACTTCATCACTTCAGAATTTAAAATAATTTGTTTCTAGGTAATAAGTATTTAGGGCATTAAGGAAACCTTGCCACATATTTAGCCATGCTTGAAACCATGTGCACATGCATAAAAAGACACCGAGCTTCATGGACTGTCTTCCCCTGCAAAATGAAGCTTTGTTTTGCATTACCACCAGTATCCATCCGTATAAAATAGCTTTTGATGGTGGTTCCATTTCCTTCTGTGGAATTCCTTTTTTTGTTCCCTTCATCTTTAAAAACTGAACACAACCACAGTGACAACATTTATTAGGATCAATATCAATAGCTGCTCTAAAAGGAAAAAGGCTTTCTACTGGACTGTTCAGAAAACATGAATGACGGATCATACACAAAACGTTATTTAAAAAGGGCACAGGACCACTTTAAAAACATTCTTTTAACTTTCTCGGTGTCAAGCTCTTGATTTTGACAGGACCACCCTCGCGAATAGATGGCAAGCCCCATTCAAGCAAGTTGGGCAGGTCTTTGGAATATCCGATGAAAGTGGAGGTATTTGGTATACATATAATTTTGGAACTCAGGCAATCCATAAGCAGCAAATTGATGGGGTGAGCAGGTGAACATGAAGACGAAGTTCAACTTGCAGAAGTGGTGAGAGATGTTGGCATCAGATAAGAGGACAGATGAGTGGAGAGAACAGCATAGACTTACCATCATTGGACGACCCCTGCACAATCTTAAACATAGACCTAGAGTTCAAGTTGGGGTTTGATGCTACTAGCTCAACAGTAGATGATGAAACCTGATAGAATTTAGGATGGGATATGGACAACTGGATTGGGCAATAAGACACTTGGGTTGAACCACATTAAAAGATTGAATCCAATCGATTACTTAGTTCAACTCAAGAGCTTATATACCGGTTTATTTTCTCTTCAAGTTCCGATGTGGGATACTCTTTAACACTCCCCCTCAAGTGGACAACCGGGCCATTTTGAATCTAACCGGTTGACCACTTGCAAATGAACTCCCAATCCCTTGACTTTTTTTTTTGAGCGCCAACACCTAAAGACCACGAGCCGCTGGGTATGGACTTCCAGACGAGCAATCGTGTTAAACAGGCCACAGGCCGTTGGGTACACACTCCATACGGACAACTGGGCTAAAGACAAACGGGCCGCTAGGAATGAACGTCTAGACGGACACCTTGACAAACGAAGTGGGCCAAAACCTGCTCTGATACCATGATAAGGAACCAATTCAACCAAAAGCTCAAGCTTGTGGTTGTGGCACAGGAATGATTGTTATATACTCTAACAATCACGTAAAAGTGAGCACTTGAGATGAGTCAAGAAGGAAGTAGGTCAACATAGTTTGACTTACTTGAAAACCAGATGATGAAGAGGAAATATGAAGACGACGGGCAGAAATATGGTATGGAGTCCAATGTGTTATGGGACCATTGTTGTTCTCTACTGGAAACAGGTGAAGGCAAAAAAGCTAACAAAGAGAAAATTGCTATAAAACTACTTGTCTGTTAGGTGGATGCTCATCTTGATCTTGTCGGGGGGTATTTGGTTCCTCTTCTCTCTAAATGGCTACTTGGGTATTTCAAAAGCACCTACATTTTGGCTGGATGTCCTAGGCTAAGAAGTTGAACTATAATACTGAGAAGTTTGGCTGGCCTTGTGTGAGGTCAGTACCGAGGTCGTCAAGGGGTGTCCAGTCCGGTCCCTCTTCTGTCTAAAGGGCTATAGGGTGTTGATGACATCCACTCTGGTCCCTCTTCAGTTGGCATGGTCGGCTTGCACTATATTTCATTAATGTTTAATCCTAGAGGGGTTTTTCTTAGAAAGGTTTTAGCACTTCATAAGCTTTCTAGAAGAATTTTAAGAGTCTGAAAAGTTCTTGAATGCTTTTAATCTTCATGGAGATTATAAAGACAATTACTGTACCAAAAAAGTGATAGCATCTTAGTCCAACTGAAATTCCATTCTCAACGATCTTTCTGGGATTAGTGGGAGCATCCCCCAAAAACCTAACAATCAACACATTCTCATCTCCTAAAGCTTGTTGCAAGTGTGTTCTTGCAGCATTCAAATAAGGTCCCTGAATCAAAAAAGGAAATGGACAGTTATACATGAAATAAGATATCCAAATATTCTTGTGGCAGAGCTGTGTAAAAAGTACAAGTACCAGCTAAAGAAAAACATTGCAGTGAAAAAGGTGAATTAGTTTTGGAGTACATATTGTCTCTCATAAGAACCATTGAACACTTTTACAGACTATAAACAAACACCTACTTGTACCTTTCAATAGGTAATGCATGGAGAGAAAGCATTTAATACGGAGTATAAAATAGTGGAGAGATGCAAACCTTGAAAGTACACTCTTCGTTTGAATCAATGTTGCAGTAGTAAAGATGGGTTCTACCAGAATCCCAATCAGTATACTGAGCGCACACAAAAATTAAGAAGTTAATGAATTTGACAGATAGAACCAAACACGAGGGCACCTAAATGCTGTAATAGACTTGTGAGTTGTGACATTAAAGTAGACCAGAAAAGCCTGTTACATACTTCAGAAATCATTGAGCTAAGAAAGTAAGTGTGGATACCACGTTTATTTGAAGAATAAAAACAAAACCGTTGTGGCTAAATTCACCCCTCATTTGGCCATATACACTTCAATTGTATAAAAAAATTAACAACTTTATCCATTCACTTCTTTCTTTGCCCTTTTAGACACATAAGGATAAACTTGTCTGTAAGGTGTGGATTTAGCATCACCCAACCAAAAACTAGTTACATGGGAAAAAAGAGGTCTTAGGGCTAAGGGGGGAAACGAAAGAGAATAATGTTTGAGCAGAGCATAACCCGCAGTCTTTCGCAATCTTCACACAAATGGCCATATTTGCTCCAGATATATGACTCAAAGGATGCCATTGGCTGATCTCCTATGCTTGCAATATCATCAGCAGCCTCAGGAGTCACCACATCCTCCAAATTGTTCCTGTAAAGCAAGCCATTAAGTTAAAAGCATTTGACTGATGCAGAAGTGAATGAGTAAGGCTTGTATTACCTCCCGATATAGTTTAATATTAAGTAGAACTTTCTAAATTCAAGCTCACTGAGTGCTGACAGCTGGTAACTAATTCCTTGGGTGTTTCCCCTCTCTTTGAATTCTGATCTTCTGGCATGGTGACTAAAAGTCTGAGGACTCATTGGAAAAGATAACGATTTTGGCTTTGAATTTTTTGAATCAGGGGTCCAGCCAGCATCATTGTAAAGTGGTTTTTGATTACCAGAGCCCCTAACTGGTCAAAAAATTAAACTTCTGAGTATAATTTTAATGAAGAAAATGAGGAACCAACATGCTCACCATATATATTATGAATGCATTCATCAAGTGAGATTAGTATAAGAAGATTGTTACATAATACTGCAAACAACAAAATTAAGACTGACATTACATTTTCTTTATACTCCCTCCGTCCCGCTATATTTGTCCACTTTTGACTTTTGGAACTGTTCATCTAAGCACTTTGACTCATCAAATTCTTTCCATGTGTAAGCCTAAATATAGTCATGCGTGATCTTGTTTGATTTGTCTTAACATATAGATTATTAATATATAATTTCTATAATTTTTTAATATACAAATTACAAGATAAAATGGATTAAAGAAGTGCATTGGATGGTGTGCAAAAATGAAAGTGGACAAATATAGTGGGACGGAGGGAGTAATTGACAAAGACTGCATTTTTCAAACAAAAAGACATACAGTATAAGGGAGAAGATAATAAATTTGCGAGTATCACACATGTTGATATCCAGACCAACAATTTAATACAGACTTGATGTTTCTTGCATATGTTAAATGGATATAAGGTACAATATTAACACAATACCTGTTAATCAGATAATCAATATAATCATTTTAAATTTCGCATTATGGGCAATAAAAAAGTGTATAGCTACAGGAGTTGCCAAATGGTCCATAAATCAGAGCTCACACAAGTTTCTTGTGATTCAGGCATTCAGCTTGTTTGTCCCTGTCTAGTGTCTATTTTTTGTGATCAGTCCTTTTACTTCATTTGTAAGTCTATCTCACAAAAGTTTTCTCACTCTTCTTTTCATCCATACCCAAATAAGTTTTCCAATTTTTCTTTCCCTGTTTGGAATAGAATGTGTAGTCCGGAATGCTTCTCCTCTGAACAAATTATAATCACTCATTTTTCAATTTCAAATATCTTCTCGAACACTTTTTACAATGTACTTTAAGTCAAATGGGGAAAACTAATTTTGGCATACTGGGAGTAATTCTTATTAGAATGCAGAATTTGGGATACATTGGTCGAGAAGGGAAATATTTGTAGCATTTAAGATTCTAGTGGTAATGTTAAGGCAATATATAGTTTATGAACGAAATTGTAAATCCCTTAAGTAGCACCATTTCTAGTAAAAGAGGGTGTCATCCAATGTAAAAACTAAAAAGGTGAAATTCTATGTTAAAATAAAAATAAGAATCCAGGTCTTCAGGAGTAATTTGACCCACATGAATGTTTGCCAAAATTAGTGGTAGGAACAAAAAGGATAAAAAGAGTAGTGGACCTGAGTGAGTACTATTTACCATTACTCTTATAAAACGGAACATTCCCTGCAGTAGAATTACTGGAAGAGCAAGGAGAAAGAGCAGAGAAGCTTCTGTGAGGAGACTTCGAAACGCTTTCAGCTGAAGAACTGGGCTGATTCTGATGCTTTTTCGCCATAAATACAATAAAAGCGCTGAGCGATTTCCGGATCGTGCAAACTGATATTTTCTCCAGGAGCTCTATTGAAGCCTGTTCTCCTAGCGAAGCAAGAGCCCTTTTGGCATAATCATCTAGGGGTTCTTGACACTGCTCAAAACAAATCTTCTCAACCATGGCTTCCACAGTCTGTGACAGAAAACCCTTCTCCTCCATCCCTGGCATTCCAGTCATGGCCATACAAAAATTAACCGCTTAAACCCAAAATTTACAAAAAAAAAAATGGTTGTTCCTCAAGTTTAGAGGACGGCTAAAAACAGCAATTGCTTGAAAAGTAGGTGCAGCATAGTTCGTAACTGAGAAGAAATTGAATAGGGCAAAAGGCATGGTAAAATGAAAGACGATACTAATGAAATCGGGTTGAAATTCGGAGTACCATTCCAAGGAGGCGTGGTAGGTGACGGTGAACAGTGGCCGTTCATCGGGGCAGCCCGGTAAAGTTGGTTCGCCATTTAGGCCGCGGGAAGCTTGTTTCAACACTATCAATGGAGGGTTCTAATCCGGCGACTGTGCGCCGCTCCTGAAACTGCAGCGACTTGAAGCTGGGAATCAATCAACTGGTGCTGTGTCGCTGTGAAGAGAACGAAGGACGAACCTTTCTTCTTCCTCCTCCTCTTAATCGGGTTTTGAATTTGAACTTGAGAATGTGTGGCAACGGTATCCAGCAATTATCAGTGGGTACTGGCGGCAGTAATAATAGAGTAGTTTTACAAGCATCTTTTTGAAAAGAAGACGAGACGTGGCTCTTTTCAACTTTCACGAGCGCAGGGAGAAGGCGGAACGGAACCGCGGAAGTATGGAATAGTAAAACTTATGTGTCTCTCAGTCTGTATCCATTTTTTAACCAAATTGGGGATAGAGTGTAAAAGGACTTTTAGACAGAAAAAAATACGGAGTAGTGTCTGTATCCATTTTTTACCATATGTGGAATGTGAACATGTTACTTCAATGTTATGTTTAGTTATTAGTGACATTATGTTTTTAACAAACTAATATCAACTCGTGCGTTGCACATGTCATATTTACTTTATTAAATTAAGATTTTTTTCCAACAGTACGATTTATAAAAACACTCGAAAGAAACTAATGATGAAAATATTTGCAAATGATCATATTTATACTGTGAATTTTTTTTGCTTATTCTATTTTCTTTTTTCAGATTTTTTATTTTTAAAATTACAATTAAGTACGGAGTACTTGTCAATTTACACAGTTAGTGTTACTTATCATTTTAACTTAAATTTTTAATTATCAACGTGTATTTATGATTCTTCCTTACCAAAATTGTGTATAAGGAAAATACTTTATTTAAAATACATATAAAGTATAAATAGAAACACAACTATAACTTTAATTTTGGTACTTTAGGGTATGAGAATATTTTTTGTTCACGGCAATGTTTTCAATTTTTTAAAGATCGTAATTTTTTTATACACGGTAATCACAAAAAAGGAACATACCCTTTTAATACAGAGTATTATTATTATTACATAGCTTATAATGAAGTTACCGTATTTAAGATACGTATAAAGTAAAAATAGGAACACAATTTTTTGATCAATTTTTGGTGTTTCTTACCATTTCAACATTCCATTTTTAACTTAAAATTTTAATTATCAACATGCATTTATGATTCTTTCTTATTAAAACTATGTATTAGAAATCACTTTATTTAAAATAACTAAAAAGTATAAATGAAAACACAAATGTGATTTTAATTTGGATACTTTAGGGTATGAGAATATTTTTTTTCAAGACAATGCTTTCAAGTTTTTTTCAAAGACGGAAATTTTTTCATACACGGTAATCACGTAAAAGGAACATACTTTATTATTATTGTTACGTTGCTTATAATGAAATTACCTGATTTAAAATATATATATAAAATAAAAACAGAAACACATTTATTTTTTGATTGATTTTCTTCATAGTATCATTTCAATTTCCAAACTTTTAAATTTCATTTATAATACGGAGTATATAATTTGGACCAAAAAATATTTGGTATGATAATACTTCAATTCACATGGTACCATAATAAGTAATATTTATACTTTTTATAAAAGGGTATTTAAAAATTATACTTTTCACCCTCCATGTTAATTATACTTTTTATAACACTTGTACCCCGAAGCAGCATTCGCGAAACTATGGTGATTATCTCCTCAAAGATGGCTACCTATTCAACAAGACGTACTTCATGGTGAAGGAGCATTACTTCTAGCCCAAGATGGAGAGAGATGTTTAACACTTTGTCAAGAGGTGTTCCACTTGCCACCTCGCCAAAGCCCACATCCTAACACGTACAATGAATACACATGTCATTGTCCGTGCCAAATACTCCGTGAGAGGACGTTAGCCTGGACTTCATTATCGGGCTTCCTAGGACCTCGAAGAACAAGGATTCCATTATGGTGGTCGTGGACCACTTTTCTAAAATGGCCCACTTTATTCGATGCATCACAAGTGGCGGTCTGGCGGACCTTTATTTTCGAGAAATAGTCAAACTCCACGCCATTCCCCGAAGCATGGTTTCAGATAGGGATTCGAAATTCCTTAGCCATTTTTGGCTAACCCTGTGGAGAAAACTAGGAACTAAACTCAAGTTCAGCACATCGAGCCATTCGCAGACCGATGCCCAGACCAAAGTTACAAACAGGACTCTCGGAACACTTCTCCGAGTTTTGATCAAGAAAAATATCAAGCAATGGGAGTAGCTCTTGCCATACACAGAATTTGCATACAACCGGACTCCAAGCAGGACTACAGGTTTATCCCCCTTCATCGTTGTCTCATGTTCGAAAAAACAAAAATTGGAGTTTTAAGTCTTTTAATTTAAAACCAACATATGAGTATAATGGCAGTATGATGTAAGAGTATGTATTGATAGTGTGATAGAATAGTGATGATAATGTTATATATTAATGTGATCAGTCATCTGTAGGTGATCTGCGTCGTCACTTTAGTGGCTGGCGACGACGGATGGTAGTGTGGCAGTAATAATCTGGTAGGTACGGTGTGACAATGTCGTGCATGTGCAGTGTAACAATAACAGTGTAAACTCTTATTTTAGTCTTAAAAGACTTATGATTCATATTTTGGTATTTTCATAATTTTTCACTTGTATGTAGAAAGTTCTCCCATGGTTTTAACTTTAATTTAAATAGGATCATATCATATTCAATTAGATCAAATTCAATCAAAATAGATCAGATTAGTCCAGAGTTAGTTTTAAAAATTAGATTATAATCAATAAAATTAGGCGAACAAGATGCAACTTAACTTGGCTATTGTCTGGAGTTCAATCTTTTCTAAAGAATTATCAAGTGAGTGTTCAAGCCCCACCCTGAACTTAAAAGATTGAGATTAAGATTGAACAAATATACATAGGGGAGATCATCTGTCTAAAACTAAACCAGACCAGACTGAACTGGACTAGATCGAAGACCGAACTATGCCAAGATCAAGATCGAAGACCAGACTTAAATGTATTTGGTTTTGGACCAAACCAGACCGAAATTGTATGGACCAAACCTGTCTAGACTAAAACACACAAATCCAAGCAATAAAAAAATTTGATTCCAAATTTTAATTTTGTTAGAAATTGTAGAAGAAAATTACAAAGAAGTTCATAATCCAAAGAGAAATTAAAATAGAAGTTATAATTAGTTTTGAAAGGTATCAAATGAAATAAAATCATGTCATAGGGATTGGGCTATCACTGTATCCCATTGAGTTTACTACCTGCTGACTTTAAGGTTGTTATGGAAGTCGTCTCTCGTATGAACTCTGAAGCCTGATGGTGAAGACGGTGGTGCACCTGTGTGATTGTCCGAAGAAGATGATGGAGAGGATCGGAAGATCAGAACTTCGAGAGAAAGAAGATGATGTTGAGGAAAGTCGGAGAGTTCTGACGAGAGGAAGAAGATGACATTGAGGACGTTTGGAGAGGAAGATGACATGCAATTCGATTGGGTCGATTTGTTGAATCTATCGATTGATGGTTTGAAACAGAAAGATAAGATCATATATTATGAGGATGAGAAATGGATAGGGATCACTCCATTTTTTTGTTAAATTAGTCTTAAAAAAAACATGGTCCAATATCTAAATAAGAAATACGAAATAAGGAACTAGCTAGGCAGCAATGATATTATCGGTCTCGACTAATTTGCAATCAAGTTTGGACCAGAGCGAACCGAAGTCTAGAATTCTAAATCATTTGGACCGAAGACCGACCCAAAATCCGAGTTTGGTTTGGACCTATCAATCCGGTTCAGTCAATTCTTTCATCTGCACTTAAACATGAAATATACACGGATAGGTATGAGAGCTAAGAGCATTAACAATAGCAAGACAATGTCTTGCCTTACATAGCCACTAGTATCAACCCCGTGCTTCGCACGGGCTCACATATATTCTAATTTTTGAAATCTAAAAGTAAAATATCAATTTTTTTTTTAAATTTTAAATAATGATATATAATGTGTGGTGATAAATAATTTCTAACTATTTTAAAGTTTTATACAAATGTAATGGTTATCAAATAAAAAATAATGAAAATCATTTTAATTAATAAAAATTAAAATAAAAAGGTCAAATAAATCAATTAAGTAATGACACATCATTAGAGAATGCATGTCTGTTATGTGTAACATGTAATTCTTCAATTAAACTTTCAGTGTGTGTTTAGTTTGCTAAAAAATATGTAATTAAATAAATAATGTAATAAGACAAAAGATTAAAATATGTTATGAACTTAATAAAGATGCATGTGTGATAAAATTTGTATATAATAGTTTCTTTTGAGATGATGGATAAATTTAAAAATTATAAGAAACATTGTTTTTTTAATTAATATATTCTATATAAATTTTTTAATATTATAAAATAGTCGTGCATATTTAAAAATTATCTTAAAACAACAAAAAAATATTTCTAAAATAGATAGAAAGTGAAAATTTTACAAAAAAAAGAACAAACATAAGAGGTTTTTATTGTTGGAAAGTGAAGGGTTTATAAAATATAATAAAAATAATTATTTAATACAAAATTAAATATGCATGTGCGTAGTGACATGTGTCTTGTGGTTTACATGTGGCATGACACATGTCAGTAGTATACACGTGTGACATGTCACGTGTCATCACCACAACTATCTAACTCCATTTTACATACATACATACATACATACATACATACATACAGACACACACACACACATATATGATAGGATATAGGATGTCATCAAATATCAACCAAATCATGACATTCCATGACCACTTCACTCCATTTTCATTTCATGTGCAAGGCATGACTCTCCTATTTTTTTATATTTTTATTTTTTAAATTTTCAAAAAGAAACATTTTTTAAAAGAAGTAGATATATTTTAATAATAAAATAGATGTGTAAAATAATTTTTGATACTTTAAAAAGTGCAAAAATAGACAAAAACAATGATTTGCCACTGTATGTTATGACACTCCACTCACTTGCCACACGGTGACTCACTTATTTTTTATTGATTGAAATATTCCATTTGACTGTGTGACATTTTATTTCTGTCTTGCTTTTGTTAATGCTCTAGTGAAAAAAAGTATTCAAACATGCCATGTATGTCAAACCAATAGAAGTGCGCCACGTTGTTCTTGCCCAAT